CGGTGACGCGCTCTGAGTGTGGGCTAGAGCACGCAAGAGGTAGAGAGCGAGCAGGGAGACAGGGAGGCGTGTGATTGGTTCATAAGATTGGTACCTCATGGCAGACATTGGTTGAAGTTAACTGCTACAGATGACGGATTTTCCTCGTTCCCTTTTCAGAGAACATGAGTTATTAATTTCTGTCAGGACCTAAAGACAATTTCAACCACAATCTTAAAAAGTGGATCTGGAGGAAATTACCAACCCTGCCTTTAACTAACTGAGGAACCCATTAATGACTAACAGGTCCACTTTGAGAGTGTGTGAGTAACAACAGTTCTCAGTGATCCCAGAATGAATGAACTACACCTGAAACAGTCATTACAAGGCCACCCACTCTCTTTCCTGCCTCAAAGTCCTAACTGCTTTCTTGTCTGCATCATATCCTAATGAATACACAATGCACCTCTATATCTTCAACCTTTCATGTATGTATGTAGACGAGGAAAACTACACATGGTCCGCACGGGCCTGTGACCCCTACGACCCCATTTTTCCTCCCATAATCTCGTAATCTTTAGCGGAACAGCCGCCTCTGTAATCATTGGCAGGTCTTGCACGTTGCATACCTTCCTCGAGCAGCACTCGGAGGGGGGGCTGGGGAGTGTATTTGTGAGAATATATGCAGGTAATCCGCATCCCCCTACTAATATCTGCAGCCGGATTCTTCTTATAAGACCTGAGCCTGTGTTTATGGGTGGGCTAGGTGAGCGATTAAGTACAGTCAGACCAACCCTGAGGTGATCTGTGTGATAGGGGAAGCTGAGATGAATCTTGATCTGGATGTGTAGTGTTTTATAAGGATGGTCACTGCTAGCAAATCACAGTCTAATGGAAACACCGGAGTATGAAGAAAGTCCATCTTAGTATAATGGAACACATTTATACCGCTGTTTATTTATAGGCTTGAAGACAGGGCGCAGCTATACTTTTATTATGATAAGTCTGTCTGAGTCTATTTGCTTAACAGGGAGGAAAACACTGACTGAACGGACTATAAAAAGAGGAGTACATCAGACAGGCACATTATAAGACCTGTATTTTCACAACAAATCACAGCTCTCTTACTAACCTATCAGGTACATGCACATTGTATTTATTTTCCAAAAGCTACCATGAAGAAACCTGGTGCTCTCTGTGGTTCAGGTCCTCGTTACTCGTGTTAGATTTAGGAAACAAGAACACTACCTTAAAGCTCCTGTGAGGAGTTATTTTTTTAACCCTTTTGTATCATTCGTTTTTACGACCCTTCTGAGTAAAAAAAAAAAATGTCCGCTTCCAAAAACTTTCATAAAGATGTTAAATATCACACTTGTTTGGTTTGAATCGTTTAATGAACTTAAGTCTTTTGCAAAAGATAGCAAAGGATTGTTGATCGTCTGATATTAGCGGGCTAATATCATCAAAGCGGTATTGTTATTGGCCTATTGCAGCATGTTTTTTTGTTGAATCTTTCATGGACGAAACGATGACTCGGATTATTTAGAAATGGTGCCATAAAATTTGTCCAACTGAGAGATCACTCTCAGCACTGTCTGCAGCTAAAGTAGCAGATGTTCAAACTAGAGATGGGACCGATCCGATCTAATATCGATATCGGGTCCAATCTTGATGTAATTTACGTATCGGATATCGGACTGGCGGTGTCGATCAACGTCACAGGTCAAGAAAGATGGTTGAGCGCTTTAAACACACTCAGCCTCGCACAGTCTCACTCTGAAGAGAAGAAGTGTACACAAATGGTCTGCATGACGACACACAGAGAAAACAGAACAGCTCCTTCTTCATGACCAAAATTACTTACTTACACTTCAGTTTAAAATATTTAATTTGAAAAACCTGACAGTTGTTTCTGCTTCCTGTTTGTCTGTGAAGTCAGCACAATGCAATGCAATGCCGGGTTTACCTCACACATTACAACAACAACAACAACAACAACAATAGCATCATTAGTTTGGTATCAGTACACGTGAATTGGATCGGATCTGAACTGAAAAAAGTGGATCGTGCATCTCTAGTTCAAACCCATGCAGAGCTTAATCCACACTTAAACTGGTTGACGATAAATATTCTATATTCTATATTCTTCTTTTGTAAAGTAAAAGAAAAAGTTTAAGAAGACAGCCTTCGAGCTACGTTTGTACCACAGCTGCTAAATCAGTGCACTATCCACGTAGAACATTTCTCGGCCGCCCAAATGGAAATGAGTCAACTTTTCCCCTTTTAATATCAATATGTTGTACATGGTCATGAACATCATGAACACATGATCCCTGAGTCCTAAAATACAAAAACTTCCCTTGTACAGTAATTATGAGAAAGAGACATTTTCTCACAAGAAAATTGTAGACCTAGCTAAAGATTGCGGTTGTGGTCGGAGAAAAAATGGCGTCTGCTTTCAACCATATTTCATTAGTGCATATGCAGATGTCATTTGTAGCCAAAGTTTTTCCTTATTAACCATGAAATCTAATCGCCATGTGGTGAACACATGTAAAAATGTCGTGCCAGACATGTTATTGTAACGAAAGCCTCTGTGATGGAGGAAGGAAACGTTCACATTATTTATGACCACAAAACTTTACATTTACACTTTAGAGTTCAAACCCATTCGCTGAGCCTTTTTCAGCCTTTTGTCTAAATCATTTACGGTGACAGATGGTTTACCCCGCACATCGCCGGCCCCTCTATGGGAGAAAAGCCCCCTGTGATATCTTATGGAGTCATCAGCAGCCGCTTGCCAAGTTTAATACGACTGGGGACCGTAACTCTCCAGGCAACTGCTACTAAACATGCCAGACAGGTTCTGGCTCTCTCGCCCGCCTCAGATCGATATCAAATTGTCTCACAGAGCATCAGCAATCAAGCGTGCCAGAACAGTGAGCAGCCCAGTCAAAGGTTACAGACGGCCGAGCCGGCTTCACCCTCAGCCAATGTGTGACCGCTGTTTTAAAGAGTTCTTTGACAGTTTAACATCCCCCCCCCCCCTCTCCCTCTCCTTCACCCCTCTCCCTTCCTCCTCCTCCTCCCCGTTGTTTTCCTTTCTCAGCCGTCCTGATTAAACCTGGAGATCCCGGCGGGAGGCTCTGATTTCCCAGCCCTCACTGTTACTGTAGTGAAGTCAACGCTGCGTGTCCTCACACAAGGCCAGTCGAAGCCAGCGGCTGTAGAGGAACGGGGTAATGAATGAAGTTTTGAGCACTGCAACATCTGCAGGATACGGGCATGCTGTGACTTTGAACTGTACTCTGTGAGGTCCTGCTGACTCTTTATGTTGTCCTGTAAATCTGCCAATGTGTCCAATACTGTATTCTGTTTGCTTAATCAATGCTTCAGAGATCAGATAAGTCATTAACAACTTGGAAGAAATTGGAAATTAACTTTAAGCAATGTCTTTATGTTTTAAGCATTTTAATAAATCAAGAAGACACCTGATGCACTTTGCTTCTCAAAGGGGGTTAAAAGGACATCTGGACCATTTTAATAACACGGATTAAAAGGTGGGCTAGAGGTCATAGGATGGGTCTCTTTGATTAATAAAGGAGCTTAAAACACAAAGAAAGGGACATTGGAGGAGAACAGCCAAAAAATAGCCATAAAACCAGTATTATATCAACCAACAATAGAGCTATTGATTACAGATATGTTGTGTTTAAATCTTAATAAGTTCAGTTTTCATGCCTAGGCCCATTGACTAAAGCATTTGTTCCCAACCTGGGGACTGGGTCTCCCTAAACCGGGCACCAAAGATCCCAGTGGGGGCGTGAGGCTCTGCCTGTTCTGAGGTTGTCAGAAGTTGACTTCAACATATTGACAAAAAAAAAGGCAACACACTAAACGGTAGAGAGTCTATTCAACGGTCTGTGGATAAAACTGTGCAAAGAAAGAAACATGTTTCCTAACTCCAAAGTATCAGGGTAATATTCAGCCACATTTAGAATTACAGGTTACAATGACATCTGCTTTTTGTGTTTGACAGGGATCACTTTGTTCATGTGGGTCTTGCAGGGGTCTTCACCACTGGACTAAAGCATGCAGTGGATTTGTTACAAGTCACTCAAAGGTGCAAAGGTTGGCAACTTTATTGTCATTCAATTATTGGAAGTGAATGAATGAATCTTTGTTTTTGTGTCTGGTCTTTCAACACGGCCCATCCCTTCCAGGATTATTCAGACACATTTAAAGAAAACTTTCCCTAGTGCCATGGCAGTGACATAAAAACGAAACAAATACCAATATTTTTTTTTGGGGGGTTGGGGGGGGGTGGGGGGGAGCAGAGAGAGAGAGAGAGAATGTGAGTAAAAATATGAAAATCTGTGGATTGCAAAGTGTTGAGAAATCCAACAGTTGCAGTGAATGTATGAAGTGCATGACTGGAAATCAAAAATCGTGTTTTAGCTTCAAAGAGATGTCATATGTCTCACACACACAGACACACACCACAACAACAACTTGAGTGCACAACTGCTTTTGCAGGAAAGCATGGGAGGATGATTGTTTAACTCAGGGGAGATGAACCATCAAGTGACACTAACATGAATGTTACATTAAACATCGACAACTCTTAATTTCTGAGTCTGAGAGTACAGCTCAGCTCAGCTCAGCTCAGCTCGGCTCAGTTCAGTTCAGTTGAGAGGGAAAGCAAATTACATCGCCCGGAGCCACTGCTGCTGCTGCATGAATGGAGCCCTTTTTTATGATCAGAGGGAAAAGTTCTCCCGGGGGACCTGGAATTTCAGAGGGTTTTCCCCCCTTAAACATACACGGGTGTACACTTTAAAGGTAAAAGGTAATTTTGCACTTCCTACCCTGGATAATGTAGTTTCAACTGCAATGAAACGCTCTCATTCATCGCACTTTAAACTCAAGCAAGATGTGAACTCAAACGAAATGCAGGAATAAGCATTTTTTTTTTATGTTGCACCCCAAGTTTATGCTTAATGTAAATGTTACACACTCACCGTTCTGCTCCTTTACACTTGGAAGGTGAAACTTGCTGACATGACTTGATTCAGCTTCCGAGCCATACTGTTGGAGAAGCGATGCAAGCAGGAGTAGTAATGAAAGGATCATTTGGATGGAGTGGTGGTTGGCGATCACAAAGCGCTGTAGACAGGACGGTCCTGTATCACCACACATGTGCGTCGTTTACGGGACAGCGGTGCTGTTTGGGGCACATTTGGAGAGGATACACGCAGAGTAGAATCCACATAATCATAACCACCAGTCCATGGGGGAGGAAAAAGTATAATTTATTGCACCCTCAATCCACTTCCAAGGCTTCCAGACCTGCCGCTTCTGCGCAAAGGAGGAGCGCACCTGTTGGTTCTCAGAAAGTTGGAGACTTAGTGGAACAAAGTTTTCCTTGAAGTGATTTTAATCCTGGTGTTAGTTGGAAAAGCGTCCTTATGTGAGCATATCATCTGTGGTGGTAAGAAAAGCACATGTGCATGTTGACTAAAGCGCGCGTAGACTCCGTCTGCATAAATCCCCGCTGATCTTTACGCATTACAGCGAAAAGCTCTAACATTCACACACACACACACACAGACAGTGGAGGGAGTCCGGCAACATGATACAGTCTGTACCCACAAACCATTCGCAACACCGACACCAAGTTCTGTTGTCTGGCGAGCTCTCGAGTCATAACTTGGTGGAGTCTGAGATGAAATATCGCTGCGCGCAGAGGGGTTGGGTTTTTGGAGACTGCCAACTGACGGCACAACAGGTGCTGTACATAAAGAAGAACTTCCCCAGCGTGGAAGGAAACTCCCCGGCATGTTAACTGTTACGTTGCTGCTCCGTCCAATGAGGTGTTTCACTCACTTTTAGGCACAAATACAGCCAAAGTTGATGTAAACAGTTTCACATGTTTCCAGTAGTTTCCCCCAAAGTGTCTCCAAACTGGGTAAAAGTTAAGCAGCTCGGCACAATGCATGATGAAGACAAACTTGAAACACATCATATGAAGCTCTAAGATCAACTGCTTATTCCACAATAGAAGAATAGCCTTGAACAAGCAAGAGATGAAATAATAGGACAAGACAAATATGACATGGCTGAATGTGTCTCATGTTCAAGGTAAAAGCTGAGTTTTAACACATAAGATGATGAGATGTGTCGGCAGACACATCCAAGAGAAGAAGACAAGGATAACCTTTGACTCTCAAATACAAGATAAGAAGACTTCTAATGAGCATGTTCAGGTCAATATGAAAAAGTGGATTTTTTTTCTATCTTGTCAGAATAAGAAAGCTCTCTAATAATAAACGACACAAGAGAAAAACTGAAAAGGGAGTATAATGTGATCACACTCCAGGTGATGGGATTGTCACGTTTGAAGAAAAGCAGATTCTTTTTCAGACTAAAGGTGCTTTTTTTTGTCTGTGTAGAACAAATACCTCCTCAAATACCGGCACTTCAGACTTGTATATTGCAGCCATAGTAAATGAAAAGTAAGGACATAAATGTTATAGCTGGTGTGGAAAAAGAAGCTCTGTTGTGACTAATTGGCTTAATAGAGGAGAGAAATTGACAAAATCCACTGCTGTGCTTTATGTGAATCAAAGTGCTCCCACTGTGTAAGTGCTTTTAAAAATTCCTCTATTCCTACTTTCGACAGAGCTACATCACTGTAGCGTTTGCAGACAGCACATCTTTTTTGCAGAGTGCATCACGGTCCTTCAAATCAATAACATACACATGCAAAAATGAAATCCACAGTGCATATTCATCATTCCAAACGGAAACTTTCCATAAGAAAATAAGTTTTCTTGTTCTAACTAAGGGGGGATTGTTTAAAGATTTGATTCATTTTCCCCACAGAGAGATGAAAGATAAATGCGTCCCCACAGCAGACTTTTTCACCGTGCTGTTGTGCATTCTGCCCTGAGTGTTTCTGTGGAAAAAAGGAAATGTTTAAGAGCTTCTCAATTTGTCATATCAAAGCAGAGACACGGCTTGGAACAATACTCCCCTCCTGTTCCTAATTTCCTTTCTCTCCGCGGCAACACTGTTGTACCTCATCAAGTGCGTTTCATGTGGTTCCTCCCTTTCTATTGTTGGCCAAATCCAGCTCTCACTGTATGGTGAGTCTGCTGCAGCACAGACAGACAGACAGACACAACAATCAAAGGAGAGCCGGAGACATATTGAACCCATTGAGGCAGACACATGATGCAATGCTGCAGCAATTTTACCCCTCGGTCTCACATCGCTCAGAAACCACCACCTCAAAGAGAGCATGATATCTCCCCCCAGAATCAAGGTATGAAGGGAGGGTTTTTGTGGTTTTAATCAGAGTTAATGGCTGGGGGGGAAAGCATGCATGGGGCATCAGTACAGTCGTTTCAGACTTGTGTTGCCCCCGTGGAGAGGGGCATTTGGAGGTCTTCCCGTGCCTGCTGCATGGGCCCAGGCCCTTTGTGTAAAGCAGAGTATCACATTCCAGCTCTGCAAGGGCCTGCAGCAGATGTCAGCACTTCACATTGTGGAATCCCTTTCTCTCTTTCACACACACACACACTTACTCACACACACTCATTCGCCCCTAGAGGTTTTGTCTGTTAAAGCTGGCTATTTTGTCTCGTTGTCCACGTTTGATTGCCGCTTCCACGGTGGTCTTGTGAAGCGCGGCAGCTTTGATAAAAAAAAAAAAAAAAAGAAATATAATAAACAGAGGAAATTAGAAACAAGACAGACCTTTTGGGTCACGGCGAGACTTGCCAGTCTGCAGGGCCGAGTGCAGAGGAGATGGAAATGTATACAATAGAGGACTCACAGGCTCCCAGCTAAAATCCCATTAGACTTGCGTTGCCTTTTCAGGACACGTACACTGTCAAACAAACAAACCCCCCCCCCCTCACAGTCATCGCATCTGTCACACTGTCTGTGAGAAACACAAGTTTTGTTCCAGGTGAAATGAAGTGAAACACAAGGGAGCGGACATGTTTTCTACATCCAGACCGCACCTCGTTATCGCACCTTGAAGAAAAAAAGCTTTAAGATGACTTCATTTAAATGGTAAAAACCTCCAGCAGCAGCAGCAGCAGCAGCAGCAGGAGGAGGCATTTTTTTCTGTGTGGCCCTGTGAGGATTCATCTGTGGTTTTCAGTACAGGTGGGGAGTGAGCAGGCAGAGTTATTTTGAACGGAAATGACTCACATTTTCTCAGAGTTTAAAACAAATTGGGAGTCTTAAGCCTCCATTGTTAGGCCTGAAAACACAGCCATGAAGTATGAACACTGTTTGCTCCTTTGAATGTGAGGAAACACTTTCATATGTCAGTGAGACACTTGTGATGAAGCTGTATCGGTATTAAAGTCTTGTGTTTTATATGAAAAGTGGAGTGATGATGATTAATTGCCCCTGGCTGCATTTGGCTTGGAAACCAGAGCCCCCTGGTGGTGCCCCTCAGAACTGCATGGAGGCTTCATTCTGCCCCTTGAGCACCTGTTGATCTTTTTTGAATTACTGGAAAGTATCTCAGTTTAGGATGAAGAGGACTTTTTTCTATTTAACACTTTAATTCCACTTTTAACACTTTAATTACAGATCAAACGTTTTCATCCTGAGATAAGGAGAGCAATAAGTCGAGATCTCGAAAAAACATCAGAAATAAAGGAAGTAAGACTGAGTAAATGAAATGTGTGGCTGCATGTCGGCTTTGGACTTCTGTTGTATAAAAACTTAAACTGATGAGGATTCATAATCAGCAACATAAACTTCTTTAACATTAGAATCAATACATTAATATAATCACATTTATTATACCTAAAAACAAGTTACCATCGACTATTTGGGTTTTTAACGATTAGATATGATGCACAAAGACTCGTAACACCATGGCTCCCAAATATATACTTATTTATTTGCTATATGCATTAAAGAACACAATGTTTCGAACCGGACCGGGCTCTTCATCAGGTGCCGTACAAACAAAGAGGTTCAGGTGTAATTCATCAATGGATGAATCAACGGTGAGCATGGTGAGCGCGCACCAACCACTGCGCCCCAGATTATGCAGATTTACAGTCTGCAAAGCTCTTCACTGAAACCAACATGAACTCAAAGCAAGGTCATATATTTAAAATGTAGCAGAGGAGAAGTCTAACGTGTCATTAAATACAAATATTCAATACAATAAAGTTTTATGTGAACACAATAGCAGCAGAATAGCTTTTGTTTTCTTCTAGACATTAAAGGAAAGTTATTCTCACAGGTGAAATCATACAGAGAAGATGTAACACATTTAATCTGATGGCCTGTTTTACCCAAATGTCTGCAGCACTAATAGTTATTGCACCCAGCGGGCCGCTCCAGCCTCAGCTCAGCATGCTGGGTCCGTGCTCCGTCCAATAATTACACCAAAACACTGATCCTCTTGTCTGATGCGTTTATCTGTTACATTTGTCTGCAGACAGTGTTTCAGGGACGAACCTGAACTGAATTCAATTTAAATGCACTTGTTACTCTTGTGATTCTGTCTGGCTCTATTTGTTTTGGCTCCTGCGTGCTGCTGTTAGAAAGACGAGGCAGGAGGGAGTCTCAAGCTGGGATGAAAAACAATAAAACCTCATTTGAACTTCTGACTTTCATTGTGCTGTTGGAAAGACAGAACATGTTGAACAAAGACTATTAAGTGGAGATAATTTCCTCAGCAATTCATCCAAAACACTGAAAACAGAGGAGCTCACTGAACGTCTACAATAAATCTCACAAAGAAAAATATTTTCATTTAACATGTTGGACATCTCACTTTGGAAAGAACCTCTTGTTCCTTGAGGATTTTCCTCCTCTGTCTGAGCAGGGAATCATTTCCAGAAGACGCTGGGAGTGAGTGTTCCTGCTGAACATCGTCCTGGCTCGATGCCTCCCTCATAATCTTGGCTAGTTTTGCACTAATTAAACATCTGCTGACAGGGAATATGACTAAGTTTCCAATACGGCAATCTGCTTATTTAACGACCCAGGAGTCAGATCTTCAACACTGACAAACTTCATCCCAGCCCTGTTTGGGTGATAAGTAGCATGGGGTCGAACATCTGGAAACCTGCAACCCTATGTGCACATGTCTTATTGGATTTACAAAGTATGCATGCCAGCATGCTTGGGTATATGTACTGGTTGGTATTGTGACAAAAGGTGATGCCTATACAGCCAAACTTAACATGCTGTTCTGAGTAATATCAGCAGGGATGTACACTCTGCTTTTTGCTCGGTCACTCTCTCTTTTCCTCTTCTTAGCTTCATCCATCACCGTCCTCTTCCTCTTAGCCTCAGCTGTGGTATCATCCAGAACAGAGTCGGGCTTCTTTTTTATAACTGAAGGCTGCTGTGTGAACTAGTGCCGTAAAGCTGTACGCACACACACAAGATGACCTCTGTCCACTGCCAAAGTTACATAGTGCAGTAAACAGGTGATCAGGCCAAGCTGTGGCCATGAAAGAGACGCCATCCTCCATGTTCGAAAGTTATTCTACTATTAAATCAAACTTTAAAACGACTATTTAAAGTTGGAAAAGTTACACATTGTTGTTCCCCAAAATTGATTGTCATTGACATACATAACTAGAAAAGGTGGTGCGGCAATTTGGGAAGTTTTGACATAATGAAAGGGTCTGAACCATCATAACGTTGTGATTTTGAACTTGAAATTCTTATGTCGGACAGTTTTTTTTTAACAGCCAAATTCGTACTCCTATGATAAGATCAGATATTTGTCTTAAATGCAGTCAGGGAACATGCTTCTGTAATAACTAATGTCCTAAATGTCACCCCAAAGTTACATGAGATAAGATTTCAGACTCGGGACGTCTCTGTAATGAGGCCCCAGAGCGAAATAGAAATAAAAAAGTGAAAATCTAAATACAGATAACTCTAACTAACTAAGACCCCGGTTACACTGCGATAAGAACTGCAAAATGCTTTAACAGAACTGTGAACAAAGCAGATCAGAAAATAACTCTGTGTATTTTTAAAACATGGAAAATATGGGTCTTTAAATTTAATTTCAGCACTTCTTGTTTCCCTTTCAGAAGACACCACATTAGACCACATTCCCATGGCAACCATGTTGCTCAGTGTTGTTATCGTGTCTTACTCTTATGTTCCTGGCTAAAGTCTTGTAAACGTCTACACAGACAAGGGATACCAAGAATCCTGAGAGATATCGGGCGGTGTTGAGTTACAAAAACATATTTAGCTACCATGACAACACAGCTAACATTAGCATTTAGCCACTTTGTTATTTACTTTGAGAAGCACAGATTAGATATGAAAGATGTTTAATAACTCTTGATATAAAGAGTTCATAGTGATTACCATTAAGTGTGTGGTTTTATTTCTCCACCCACAACAATATTTCAAGTAACAGTCCATCCAAATGACTTTAAATCCACCATCAACCCGCTCTGTGCACAAACAGTAAATACCATTCAAATCACATCAGTCCCGCCTTTTCGGTTTCTGTTCTTCATCCTTCATGATTCTCATTCACTCTGACAGCTCATTCAACATGTGTATTTCTGCTTCTTCAAGGCAATCTATCTCATCACTGTTCAAAAAGTTAAGTCTCTGCAGCATCTCTGGGTTCAGTTAAGAATCACCAATCATAGCGAAAATTAAAACAATCTTGTTACTGAGCAGCACAAAGAGAAAAAAAAACATGAATAGCAGCAACATGAGTGCAGGCGTCTCTCTGTCAAAAGCCTCACTTTGAGCTGCAGTGGTATAGAAACGTGACGAGGTAGATTGGTTCAATCCAGCTTGACGTTTTTCTGGAAGTCACACGGTTGTCCATCACAAAGTTGGCTTGTGTTCAACTCGTGGACATTTTTGTGGACAACACAAAGGAGCTTTGTGCTGGTTTGTAAGCGTCCTGATTATAACAGCAGAACCATGCCCAGTGACATAAATCATTAATCTCTATACTGTACATATGGTGCTGATTAATTTGTATATGCAAATGGAATGCCCTGTCAGTCAAAATTAGACTTCGGGGATCGATGTGGAAAAGGCCGCCCAAGTTGTTTGACATAAAGTGATGAATGAGATATGGATCGAAAAGTGTGGGAAAATGAGTGCGGTTGCATTCTGTGATGGATTTTATTTTCACTGTACAAATAAAGGAACTAGCTTCCTGTTGAGACGCTTCAAATGTGTTTCGCTAAACCTTCCAAATGAGTGCTGGTGCTTGTAAAAAAAAAAAAGTCCTTTATGTCGAAAAGTTCTGACTGAATTCTTTCACCTTATGTTGTTGGGTGAAATAAAAACCAGAAGCTGTTCAGAGAGTTCTGTTGGTTAAAGATAAAAAACATGAAAAAGAAGCGTCATCTTCTCCGAGCTAATCATTTCTGAAGGTCACATATTCTCCTCCTTTTCAACCAGTTTAAAGTCTCCAGTTTTTAACAGACTAGAAACCCCTCTATTTCAGCCCTGCTCAGAACAGGCTGTTTCTGTGTCTGTACCTTTAAATATGTAAATGAGCTGTGTCTGACCACACCCCCTCTCTGGAAGGGCTTGGGTGTACTCGTTCTTTCTCGCTCCATGTCCTATTGTTTACGGTGAGAAGGCAGACTCAGAGGGCAGAACAAACACCTAGCTGTGGGAGTGTCACCCACCTGGGGGAGGGGCTACTGCCCTTTGTGATGTCATGAAAGGAAAATCTCCAAACACCCTGTTTGAGCACTATGCCGTAGTTCACTGCCACTAGTCAATAATTGTGTTTCCACAGCGAGAACTGATGCACATCCCCTCCACCTTACAGGACTTCATCAATCACAGCCCAAGCTACGTTAAATAAGCTAGCACCAGGCTAGCACGCCCAACAGGCCGTCTATAGAGTTTAACAACAAAATACACATTATGTTTATTACTTACACAGCTAGGTAGTTTAATATTATTTAACGTCCCACTGCTACTTTTATTTTTGAGACACCTGTAGTATGGCTGGCAGACTCCGCCATATGATCTGAAGAGCCACAATGCATTGTGGGTCAATCTAGTTTCACATACACAAAATAGCATATGATGAAGTTGGAGTGCTCTACATATTCAAAGTGACGGCAGGTTTTTAGGCTCTTCTGCATTGGCTTCATTGTCAGACCCAGAGGCGACGTCCACTTTCTGACACTCAGTCGACATTCCCCTCCAGCCGACAGCAGCAGCGCTCCACACAGGCTGCTTTGTATTCAAGAGGAGCATCAATAATGTGCGGCATAAAAGTCAAACACCTGCTGCATAAAATTCCTTTAACTCAGAGACTAAATATAAAATCGATGGCGCGGCCGTACCAAGTGATAACATTTGATGAGCCCGTAACTCTCTGGCCCTCTGCCAAACATTTTCAGTAATCTGTTTTTCAGTTCGCCCGGCCGTCCACGAGCACGAGGTGGATGTAAACAAACGAGTCTGACAGCACCTTCAAAATGACAAACTGCTATCCCTCCCACTGTACACAGAGTAACAGCTAAATCTAAAGACATTATTTAAAAACCCAGGGAACATTAAGCTGCTCTGTCGTCTTTACTCACAGGTCATTGTCTTCATCATGGAGGGGCTTGTAGTTTTCTGACTATGTTTTTTTTTTTTCCGAGCATTTAAGGGACCTTAATCTCCTCATGATGAAGAGGATTAAGTGATACGACTGATATGGGCCATTGGGTGATTATTTTTCTGATGTTATTATTTTAATGCTCTTAAGGGTTATTGAGATCAGTGTACCCAAACATGTTTTAATTAAGAAGTTCTGAACAGACACATATTAGTCCACTGACCCCTATTTGAGATAAAATTGTCCCAAAGTCTCCATTTGAAAAGATTTTAGTCTATAGATTTTGATAATAACGTGAAATAATAATCAAAACAGAGGCTGTAGTCCTCCAAAGTGGTGGCCCAGTTCTGAATTGTGGTTCTGTGGCTCCTGCGTATCATTCCCCACTCTCTCTCTCTCTATGATTTCTGACTCTATCCATTGTCCTACCTCTAAATAAAGGCACAAAAAAGCCCTAAAATAAAGCTTTAAAAATATATATTTCTCACCTGGTCTAGCCTCAGGACCCAGCACTAACTTAAAGTACCACCCCACTTCTAATATTTTTCAACCAATCAGATTTATTTATTGTGAAATCGTGCAGTTTGGATCTCAGGCAGCACAAAAAATTTGACATCACAAAAAAAAAAACATGGTCAAAAGCCTTTCTTTGACTCAATTTCTTGTCCCAGGCACACATTTAGAACCAACAGAGAACAACTCTGCAACTCCCTTTGGGTCCAAACCCACCCCTACTTTGATAAGACAAATATTTAGCCTACATCTGTCCAGGCAAAAAATGTTGATTTGTCATTTTTATATAATCCTTTATTAATGTGTTTCTTCATAATGTCGTTTTTTGGCGGTGTGTGCATGTGTACTATATGGTAGCCTACTTTTCCATGCCATTTCAGGTCATCCAAATCAATGCAATTTTATGTGTGGATGAATTTATAGAGGAAATTGATCTCTTGAGACTCCACTTTGAGAACCATTGCTTTAAATGAGTAGATATTGTAAACACACGTACATTAGATCCAGACTATCAAGTGAGATTGCTATGCATTCACATCCGGTTAAAAATAGCTACGGGTTGGGTCTCATTTTTCTTAATAATTTAGGCTCCTCATTGCTCATGGCGTTGATAAAGAACGAGGTTCAATTAGATGTAATAGTCTTTGAATCACACACAATAGTAAATACCTATGGAAGCAATAATCCTGAACTGTATTGCATCCATCGCTCTGTGATTCATGGAGCTATGGAGCCCTCACTGCACGTCCATCTGCCTCTAAATACCACACAGACACTGCCATAAATAACACGTTTGCGCCCATCACGTGAATGAGAGCATTTATTCTTCCCCTGCCGTGACGTTTCAGCGTTTAGCAGCCGCTCTTCTGTGGCTCACAGTGGCTGTGTCTTAGTCAGTGGAGGCGGGGAGCGGCTGTCCACGGTGCTGATGGGAGGACTGATGATGCTCTCCGGCTCTGTGCAGCCGCTACTGCGCATGTTGCATGACAGGTACACGCAAGCCTCCATCTTGGGCTTCCCGAGCTGAGGCGAAAGGGCAGCAGCCATATACACAGTAATTCCAAAATAACAACAAAACAGGGCGCGGCAATAAAAAAAAAAAAAGGAAAGAAAGAAAGAAAATTGGCAAATTGCCGAGATGTAACTTTTGTATTTTCTTCAACAAATAGCTTTAGAGGCGAACAGAGCGCGCAAGCAGAATGGAAGAGAAAGACAGCGACTGGTCTGGAAGCCTCTTTTAACGACACTTGCACAGTCAGCTTTTACTCGGTCTACTTTCCTGAGGATTTGACAGGTGACAAAGCCGAAAGGTAAGTGGGACTTGGTGAGGGAGGGGCGGGGGGGTCTTTTTGATTAACGACTTCCGCGTTTTTTTTATGTTCGTAATGTGAGCGCTTGTGAGGCGCGCTCTTATGTTCTGGCATCTTCTTCCTGCATCCCCCTCCCCGCGTCATGGTGGTCGCTCGCTTGCTTCACTGTGTTTTTCTATCTTCAGACCCTCTGCTTCTGCTCTCCTCGGGTCGGGATGAAGCTGTGGTTCGAGTGTCACTTACTTTTCTCTTGTTCCAAACAGACCTGGAGCAGCCACAGGTTGTGAGAGCCCCGGTAGTCCGCTTGTTTGGCTGTGTTTTCTAATGGATACGCTGATAGATGAAGCGCAGAGGAGGCCTATCTTTGTGGTTTAAAGCATCTAATAAGATCTAGGACGGTCCACAATAAGCGAATCAGGTTATAAAGAGAAAATAACGGGAAATCCACATTATTTACTCCATGCTTTTTCCACTTTCAATTCCATTTTAAGGAAAAACAGTCATTTACCTCCATCTGATAGCATTGCTTTTCATGGAGCTGCATGTTTATGGTGCATAATTTATCAGAGGAAGCTGTGTGTGCACAGCAGAATTGCCTATTGACCTCGCACCCTAGGCTGCTTGAGTCACAGTCATCCAGCACCCCACAAAGGCTCTGCACAGCTTTAACATCCCCGGGAGTAAAACATGAGCAAGGGGCAATGTTCTCCAGTGGTGGCAAAGAGTTGAGTCAGGAAGTGTCATGGTCAATTGAGATTCTTGTGCAGAGAAATACATTTTTTTTTTTTTTTTCAGTCTCTGCTGAACCCACATTTCTCTGCACAGAGATCGGGTTTAAAAAGTTCGATGTTCCTCTTAAAGTTTTCAGAGGAAGTGAATTCAGTGATGTGCCCTGACATTAAACTTAAATCATCCCATATATGTTAGGACCTACATATTAGGGGTCGACCGATAGTTCTTCAGGGCCGATACAGATAACGGTTATTAGTGGTTCATGAGACCGATACCTGGTCTTTGGGACGAAAATGTAGAATTTGGAATATTACAAACTCAAACACAAGACTAGTGGCACCCAGGTTTCAGTGTTGATTGGCTATTACTTGCAGGAATTCAAGCCAATCAGATAGTGTTGTGGGCGGGACAATAGTGAGACAGAGTGGTGAGTGTAAACAGACCAAGAGGTAAAGACACACCTGCAGTGAAGCCAAAGTTATGCACTTTTTAATTCATTGTTTTGATGTGCAATCAGTAAAATAAAATGCCGATACATGAACGGCCAAAAGCTGAATATCGGCAAGGCCAATAATCGGTCCAACCCCGACTACATACCACACAGCACAAACACAGACTATGATGACCTAACTTAAAATAAGCCAGAGTTAAGAGTGCTACAACGTGTGTTATTTGAATGAACCTATTTATTGATGCTTTTATATAAACACAATATAAGTATTAATGATTTGATTCTACATCATCAAAAAATGCACAAGACCCATAATTAACCCTTTCGACCCTGAAAGCTGTAGCACAATTAATCCAACAGTTTCTCACATGATAGTCAAGAAGAAGAAGAAGAAAAAATTGGTTTTCTTCAGCACTTTTTCATGTTCATGCAAAGTCATGAGATTTATACCTCGTTAGTCTCTAAAAAAGAATACAAATTTAAAAATCTAATAATGCAGCCATAATGTCAGCCTTTAAGGCGACCCATTACAAAACAAATCTTAAATAGTGAGACCTCAAGATGTGAACTAATTCACACAGTGGGAAAGCAGAAGATAAACTGTTGGTGCCAAAACCAGCGGGTTTTTTTCTTGTGAAATGCTTAAGATGTTTAGGTCTTTAAAGCCATGAAAACTATGAAAAACTTTTCAAACATTGCAGATTATGTGTGTTGGAATGGGACATTTTTTGCTTTTAAGGGAGCACAAATCCCAAAAGTTTGGGAAACAGTGCCATGATGAGCTGGATGTCTATACCATCTGGCAGATTATAAACAGTAGGATCAATACTTTAAAATTATGTTGTAATACAATTCATTGAATCTCTTCATTTACATGCTTTTCATGAACACAGCCTGAGTCTTTATCCTCCCCCATCCTCCTCGTCAGGAACACTGGAGATGGGAGATGTCATGTAGAGAAATGCTGGAGGAAAGATGAGAATCGCAGGTCAGATAAGACATGAATTGGTCAGCTGCCAAGTTAAACATCCCCCTTGACTCCAGTTGCTGCCACACGATACGTCTTGGTCAGCGCTGATGATGCATGTTGGCCGCTTTTGTCCTGCATGATGGAAACACTGACCGACCTCCCGTTAAAAAAAAACAAAAATTGATTATACTATGTTGACTTAGGTGTTTGCATGCAGACAAGAGGAGCTGAGCGGAGCTATGGAAATGATTTCCAGCAGAGAAAATGATGATCAATGTGCAGGCGAGGAGCAGTCAGGGCGTTACTGGGCCAAGGCGAAGAGACAGAGAGATAGAGAGAGAGAGCGAGAGGGAGTCTAGACAATAAACTGCTTCATTTGATATACTGTCCTGCTGCTGGTTGGGCGGGGAGGAGCAGACAGTTAGTTTTGCTGGAGGTCTTGGTGTCCCGGTGTAACAAAAGGGCAACACTCTTCCTAGGTGGGGGGGATGAATCACACAGGTAGTTTAGCTGCTGGCTGATTAATGGCCCCTATCAAGATCTGCAACAAAAAAAATGCACTGCCTGTGTATAGAAGTGTTCATTTATATAATGTAGGTATTGTGGTGCTACTGTTGGACTTTCAATGTTCTAACAAGAGAGTTATCTCCTGCATTTTAGTGTTTGTGGTGTGAGAAACAATTGACCTCTAAAGGCCCTGACACTAGGAGATAGTCGCTCTAGTTTTTGCCGTCGATTCCCGTCGGCCCTTGTCCGTCTTTTTTTTGTCCGAATCGACATGTTGAATCGGAGTCGGCCGTCGGTGAGGGGAATCTCTCTGATTGACTGTTGGGAGGTTTCATTTTTCTCCAGCTCTCAGGTTCAGTAAAGCCCCTTGAGCATGTCTCTGTAGTCTCCATGCTTTCACTCATTAGTGTGGTTTCTCCTTATTTGTCTCCTCCGCCTCTTCTTTTCTTTTTCCACTAATAGACCAAGAGCTGACAACGCCAGCGCCATTTTCTACTTTTTATCAGACATTATTCTCCATTAGTAGGCGACCTATAATACGAGTGGTGACCGACAGCGGTATCATAACAACGGACTGCTGCCCCCTGTTGGCATGGATGGTTATTTCCTCTCAAGTATGTGCTGAACATACGTGGTGGTTGGCCGTCGGCTGTAGTCTTTGCGGTGTGTTCTAGAGCAACTTTTTGGCCAAGACGTGAGGTGAAGCGTGAGGTGAAGCCAGCTTTCGTCGCCACTAGTTCTTTGTCGTCTGCTTGGTGTGTCAGGGCCTTAACAGAGCAGCCAGCATTGATCAAACTATATTATGCATTTTAAAAAGATCATGATAAACAACTTAGGCCATGAAGAGCTGCACGCAGACACAATATTAAGTCTTTTCTCTGCAGCGTCTAGACAGTGTTAAGGGATATTAGAGGTAATATTTCTTTCAGAGGTCGCATTCACCTGACGGGTCCCGAATAGCCGTCATTACTCTGCTGCACTGATTGGTTTATGCTTGAACTCGCACAGCTTCATAAAACCTTGGCAGATTGATTCATTAGCATTTTATACATTTACCTTATGTGATCCATAGAGATCCATAGAAAACATTATGTCAGGTTGGTAAGTGGATAGGTCTCAGTGTGCAGGATATGAAGTGGGCTGTATTTGCTCCCACTGAGGGCAGAGCTTAAGTAGCCACTTTCTCCTGTCTCCATATGCAAATGAAAGCTGTGATTTGTTGAACGTGACGAGAAAACAGTTCACTCCGGGTTATTAAATTGCGCACCATTAAGTGTCTGTAATTCCAATGCTACACGTCGACCTCTTCATTTAAACTGTTTGCTTTTTCGTCCTCCGCAGGCTCCACTCACACCAGAATGGGAATCAAGACGCTTGCCATCTTTCTGCTCGTCCTCTCGCTTTGTGTGGAGGGAGTGTCTGCCAAAGAAAAGGGAACAAAGAAGGGGAAGAAAAAAGGGAAGCAGGTTTACTGTCCGTCGTAAGTATGGGATTTACAACACTCTCTAGTAGGTACAAAAGAGAACGTCTTTATTGTACTTAAGTCATTGTTTTCTTCTATGATAAGGACAAAATGATATTGCTGAATTGATTGAACTTCACAGTTTCAAGGTGGGTCTCTGCTCAGACTGATTTTTTTTTTACCGTCTGAAATACGTGACTGGTGTTCTCACGATGTTATATTTACTGCAAGACTCAACTTGTTTGAAAGTGTTCCTGCCCAGTGATGCGCTGTGGCACTATAAAGCTGAAGGACTCACAAGAGACAAATTGATAAAGAAAAGAGAAAATTGATGCAGCAGACGATGTAACATCCTGAATTTCAGCCCCTGATATCAACTAAATGTTCCGTCCCCACAAGCCAACCATTGATTTAGATTTTTTAACAGACTCTACTTGTCGGGAACCAATGTGTTGACCCGAGCTAGTATTACGAGCTTCCTGTTCTGAATTTGTATTTTCAAGTTCAAATAGACATGGCAATGACATCAGCAAACATGTTTGACATTGCTCTTGAGCAATAGATGATATTGAGTAACTTTACGGTATAACTGGAAGAGACAAGTACATATCAGTAAAACAGCCAGACCTAGCTTGCATACTGCTGAGTAGATGCAGGGGTAAAGTTCAGCTAATCACCTCCGGTGATGAAATCGTTTTGAGATAAAAATGTATTGAGGCTGTGACAGTTTAAATTGGTAACCAGAGCAATGCATAACCACATTTAGCACAGGTATGTGGACTTTACCATGCAGGGACGACTGAGGGGTGGTGGTGCTAGCACTGCTAATGTTAGCCACACTCTGCAAACTAAGGGCGTTTTTCACACCTGTAGTTCGTTTGCTCTGGTCTGATTCATGGACCAATGTTTTATATTGTTGCATGATTACCTCAAGATTGGTCTGTATTCACATGGAGACTTTTACAAGGGGACCGAAATGTGTGATGGGCGAGGAAAATGCTAAGTGTTCAGAATTTGACTCCTGATTGGCTGTGGCTGTTCCAAAGACATCTGCAATGTGACATGTTGTAAAACTCTGACAGCTCCTTGTTACAGACTGATGCTACCAGCTACCAATAATGACATGCCAATACTTCAGTTTTTAGGTCACAGAAAAGCTGTAAAGGTGGATTCTGTTGAACCCATGTACGATAACAGAATGTACATGAATGTGTCCTGACATGCCTCTCGACTGTACATTGTATCTTTGCAGAACAGAGGTGCACACTGCACTTCCTTAAATGGTAACAAATGTCCTGACAACGAAGCTTCCTGAAATGAGCGAGAAACTGTTTGATGTAGTTCAAGTATTGGCAAGTGTAAGCTCTATGACATGTTTCGTGTGTGAGTGCTGTGGATGCCTTTGTGGATCAAGGGAACCACTTGGTTCCAGTTTAGCTGTTGTGCTCGAGGTTGTCAGAAGGGTCTGGTAAAAGAGAGGGAAAAAAGAGGTTTAGTGGATAAGAATTATGTGCTTCGCTTTGATCAGAGGAAACCGCAGAACATACACACACTGCGCTGCATTCCTGCGGAGCACTTTAACTCATCCTCAGTGCATGATAAAGTTTACATAATGATATGTAAAGTGCTTTGAGAAGGGGGAATTCTTTGGCAGGAGAATTCATTGCCACCCACGAGGACGCTTTCTCCTTTTTCCTCCTGCCAGATCCTGGTTTCCCCTTTCCCTCTCTCTGTCCCATTGTTTTTTCATCAGTCAACCTCAGACAACAAATGATGTCTGGCACAATGCCTCTGAAAGCCACCACTTTGTGTTCTGCTGGTGATTTTCAGCAGACAGCTGCTTTTTGCCACGCTGCAGGATGGTTCAATGGAAATCCTCGCTCTGGTTTCAATAATAGCGGAAATACACTGAAAAGAATACGCTGTTTGTCATGACAAGTTAAATACTCTCTGCCACCCACATGGCAGCTCTATTGACTCGTCTTTACAAGATCTTACTAAAGACAAATACAAAAACACATGAAATATGTTTGTCTTTGGAAAGAAACTTGAAGACTATCAGGAAAGTATATATTTTCATCATAGTTGGATTACTGTATAGATTAAGTGAGTCACCAGTTTATCATCAAACAACACAAAACCAACTTCCTTAAACAAGCTAGCCTCAGCTGTGTTTGCATAGTTAGCCAATGTTAGCATGCTAACACGCTAGAATGGTGAACATGTAAACATAACAAGTGAGTAAACATGTTGAGGGGTTTCCACACGTTGCCATGCCAAGGATCCACATGCAGCATCCCCCTCTGGTGTGGACCCCCTTCAGCTTATTTTCATTAATTCCTTTTACTTTACGATACATCAGCGTTACGTCATAGTTACAGTTTTTGACAATATTATTCAGTTTTTTTTGTTGTTGCGTTGTTTTATGCTATTGAAAGATTTTCATCAATAAAGAGAGCACATTTGGATATGCAGTGATCCATAAAATCTACAAAAAGACACAAATCAAGTTTAGTTAGTTTTGTGCCAATTGAATGTTCTGGTATTTAAAACAAGAAGTGTCTCATGCCATGGTATCCCCCAAACCAGCAGTGCTTGTGGAGGGGAATACTGTAAAAAAAGGTGGAGGAAAACTAAAACCCAAAAATCAGTGGTATTAATGATCCACGTCCAGGCACTCAGGATGGTTTGAAAACAACACACTTGTCAGTTACAATTGAAATATTTTTAGCGCAATTAATAAAAAGACCTTTTATACTTTTCAAACCATCCTGCCTGGACCTGGATCATTTATACCAATGTCTTTTGGTTTTTAGTTTTCCTCCACCTTTTTTAAGAAGGGTCTTGATTTGGGGGATGCCTGGGACATCTGTTTCTGTTGCCATGTATCAACATATTGTGTTTGATTTTCATTAATATGACAAATCTGGTTTTATGACAACTCACTTCCAAATGTAAAAGCCTCATTTTCTTTGTGACTTTGTCCTCCGGGGTTGAAGTTTAATCAAAGAGTGCACTGAGGAGACGTGTGTACTGTACATCTGCTCTGTTCATCTGCCAGGAATTTGACCTGCTAATGTAATCGTGCCTTCAGTTGCCTCTCTGTCTTTTTTCTGTTTTCTCCCCCACTGCAGACAGCTGTCACCGGAGGATCTGGCTCGAGTCCCTGCCAATTCCACCAGTAACATCTTGAACAGGTTACTGATCACCTATGATCCCAGAATAAGGCCCAACTTCAAAGGCACGTCTCGTTCCCTCCTCATCTGTCACTGTCTACGTTTCATTTACATTTCTGCTGCGGTGCTGTCATGACAATTAAGGGAAGAAGTAAACTATGAATATTCACCTCCAGATTGATTCCACTAAGATGGTGCAGGAATCTACTGGTGCTTGAGACATGAATGAAAATGAAAATGAATTTCCTCCGATGCATGCTATTGCATACATGAGATGTAGGACAGCAGAGTTACAATAAGCAGATGTTCACAGTTATACTGTCTCAGCTCAAAGACGGCTCAACATGGTGTAGATTGATGCACAGTCATCATTTAAAACATCCGACTTTAAACGGTCGTAAGTCTTAGCAAACAGAATACGTGGGAAATTTGTGTTTTAGAGCTTTCGAGGAAACTATTGCTGCTTTATATTCCATGAAACTCATTTAGATTCATACACTTAAAGGCAAGGTTGGTAATTTCCTCCAGATACTCTTTTTAAGATTTTGGTTGAAATTGTCTTTAGGTCCTGACAGAAATTAATAACTCCAATCTGATGAACCAATCAGACGCCTCCCTGTCTCCCTGATTGTTCTCTACCCCTTGTGTGCACTAGCCCACACTCAAAGCGCGTCACCAATGACGCATTGGCTTAATTCTTCAAGAACGGAAGTTTCCGCTTGATCAGCACTCAGCACCCTTCTGTCCATCAGGTTGCTTGGTCAGAACCAAGCAGCAACCCTCCGGTGTTGAAAAACGAAGCCATTGCGGAAGTGCCAAATCCTGCAGTTTGTCGAGCGTCCACTAGAGGCTGGTTCCACAACAGGCAAAAAATAAGTTTTTACAGCATGAATAAACATGTTTACAGCCTGGTACTAAACACTAAATAGGTCTGAGTAGTTATTGTCATCACTGGCACACACTGGACGGGGGGTGACTTTTTTTTAAATGTCTGCATTTTGATTTAAAAAACGATACGTGTGATCCATAGCTAGGCGTGTAGCTGACATGATCGACAGGTGGGCGTGATGTAACGGTTCATCAAGAGGCTTAAAACCCGCCTCAGCTCCAACTCTCAGTCTGTCGTTAGGTTGACTGAAAGTTAGACTGAGACAGGATTTCCAACATGACGGCTGCTGCCGATGAGCCTCCAGAGCCCCCTGCAGGAACAGATGGCTGACGTAGCTCAGGCTTCAAACATTAATAGTTACAGTTTATGGTCAGAACTAGACGTTTAATAGTAAATGTAATTGTTATGAATCCTTCTGTTTTAGGAAAAGAAGAAACAGGTTGATTTATTAGGGTTCTTCTCGTTGATGGTATTTGATATCCTGGAGCCATCAGCGATACCTGATACGGTATTTAAGGGTGTATCACAGGCATTTGTGATACCTAATGATGTCGGTAGCTGAACATGATAAGGCTCAAACAATTTTTGCCTTTAAAATCTGCAAGTTTCTTTTATTCTTTCCTGTCTACCAACATCAACCTTCACAGTGTGTAAATGTCAAACTGTAAGGAGTCACCAAGAAAGAGCCATAAAAATAACAAAGAGGAGTTTGCCAACCTCTCAGTACGCCTGACTGATGGTCTAAGCAGTCTCCAGGTACACCCTCAGTTACTTTCCATGCTTTGGCACTTGGCAGCAGTAAGCTGTAAGCGGGGACTCTGGATGTTTGATGTGTTTCGAGCTGAATCAACTCCCTCATCGACAGCCTGCAAAACGGTGCAGCGGCCAAACATCTGCTCTTGATTTCAGGGTGGGCCAAGCTCTCCGTCCATTAACATCCATGTTATAATCTCCCAAATTACATCCTCGACTGTGCCGTGTGCGTTGCTCTGCCCAGGCCTATAAAACAGTGAGCGGCTTTTATCGCCCATATAGGAAGTTAAGCTAACACCAGAAGTGTTTCTTGAATATTTGTACGCTTGGTTTCACTAATGCATGGAATATGTGATCCATATGCGACCTCCACATTATGCACATTTATTTTGTGAAATGCTTGATGGGGTTTTATCCCGTGAAACTCCTGAGCCCCCAGTAAACACCTCAAAGGGAATTATTTATTCAAAGCAGGTTTGAGCTGACTGCATTCATCAGGGCTTTTAGAAGTTTATGTATAAAGCTGAGTGCAGAGAGACTTCAGTGTATATGTTTACACCGTTAGCTTAGCGGAGGAGATGAGAGGGGTTTTTTTTTTTTTTTTTTAGAACTTGGCAATGTTGATGAAGACTTTCACAAATCCTGGTCAGCAACACAATCAGTTTAACCACCAGGTACAGTTTGAAGTTGATACTTGCAGGGCTTTGGGGACACTCACATGTAAGCATGGTAGCATTTCATTCTCATTACAAACACACTTTTAAACATGGACTCAAGACTACAATCTCTTCCCCGTTTTTCAAATGCAGGAATTCCCGTGGAGGACCGAGTGAACATTTTCATCAACAGTTTTGGCTCCATCCAAGAGACGACCATGGTAAGAATTCACTTCCCATTCCACACAGTATTTGGTAATCAATACTTCTGCCAATCAGAGGCAGAGGATCAGAGCTGAAGAACTGCTTTGTCACACAAGTTTGAGGAAGAAAGCCAGAGCATGCTTTGTAGACGGTATCAGACCATTTAACAGAGAATCATTATGAAGACTGGGTTTTTCATGCCTCATTTATCTGATGGCTTAATTGCTGATAAAGAAGCTCAGCTTGAATGCGAGAGAACCGATTAAAGTCAAGGACGGCGCGGGGTCGACTCTTGATCATTAGGAAACAACACAGAGAAGATTCCTGAAGGTTTCTAATAAACACGGCTTAGCAGTGTGTTTAAAGTCAAAGCAGCTGGGCGGAGACGACAACACACCATGCGTTTCTCTCAGTAAATGTTCCTTAATTGTGTGATAAGATAATGGCCAGTAATGCAGAGTGACAGAATCCAGAGGTTGATTTGATTCTGCCTCATCGACTCGTCTATGCAGCTCAGTTTTACGGGTGGCCATCTGGAGAGTTTAATTCTGACCGACCTGAACTCTCACAGAATCAGTGAAAGAAGAGGAACAGAACAAGACTGCAACATGTTTCTAGGAAGTCATTCATGACCTCCCTGAATCCTGTAAGGAGCAGTGTAAACACAGAGGACACTTATTCATTCTTAACTTCTAAAATACTTAAATATGAACAATACAATGTGTGGGCTTAAGCCAGCTAACGGAGGATTTATCAAAACTTGGAAGTGAAAAAAAATGACCGGACCTGAAAATCGAAAGCCTTCATTGTTGACGACGTTGTAGGAGGGCAAGTCTTTGTAATGAAACAAACTATGGATCTTGAATATTTGTATTGTCTTAATTGAATTGACTGGCAGATCATTAAAGGGATACTGTGTGCGTCTGTCTGCAGTTGTGCAGGGTGCTGGCATGTGATGTGATCTCGGGCATTAGAATCGTTCCTGAAGTACTTCACTGTCATTTTGCAGACCTTGTGTAATGAATACATCGGGTAAAGCTATGCGGGGTTGTAGAATCCAAAGTTTGCCCAATGTGTGCATTCAATGAAGACAGGACAGGCTTAATGTCTTGCTTCTCCATAGACAGTAGAGCTTTACATTACCAAAACTAAGAGCTAGCTATGTTAGCAGCGCAACAGATTAGCCAGGATCGTCACACCTGATGCAGCATCGTCGTAGGAGGGTGGAAAGGGTGCATGTAAGAAAATGTCAGTAGCAGGTTCAGCATGCTCAAACTGGCTGCTGGTGAACATTTACTGAGGCTGAAAGAAAGTAGGTTTTGAACAGATTTTTCCAACCCCCCTTACTGTTGACTGACTTTTGCCCATTGGCCAGTAATGTGTTGTGCACTGTCTATTTGTTGTGTTGCATCAGTTTGATATTGGCAAGCTTGATTACATAACTGCTGATTCAGGGAAGAGTTTTTTTTATTTGTCTGAAGAAGTCACCTGTTGCTCAAACGTGACAGAAAATGTCGGCAGTGTGAGAGTCTTACACCATCTCTGGGAAGGATCAGCAACATGCATGTCAAGCATGCTCCAGTGACCGTTCAGGAGGAGGGGGATCACTAACAACAGTTTGAATACATCAGATCTTATAGAGATTTATGAAGAAGTCTTGAGAAAAACATCAATATCAGAATGGCCCCGCGTGACGGTAGTTCAGCAGTATAAAAAGGCGATGTTAAAAATATTGGAACAAATGATTTTTAAGATTAGATAAAAGTCCCTTTAAGACTTTGATTTTTAAAGATGAATAACTATTATAATATTAAAAATCAGAATCAGAATCAGAAAAAAAATCCTGAGTCATCCCTAATTAGGAGCACAAAAGAGAAACTGAAGACAGAAACGAGACGGGGTAATAAAAGATAAGATCTAGAAAAGCAACAGCAAAGAGCCAAGAGTGAGATCGGGAAAAAGAGCGATAATGGACTCCCTGGTGGCAGCCTCTGTCTCCCCTCTTCCCCCCAGAGGACACCCAACGAGAGACAGAGAGAGAATAAAAGTGACCAAGCTTCTGTGTGAACCCGGGAGGAGATGAACGAGACAGCTGCTCACCTCTGCCTCTCAATTAATCACTCCGTGGGGTTTCTGATCCCAGGAAAGCCTCTCCCTTCATTTACACCTCCCTCGGCCGAACACCACCCTGCGTCCGCTCACTGTTAGTTAACACCTCTGTTTCCACGTCATGATTGTTTTCATCAGAGACGACGTCTAATCTGATGCTATAAAGTGGAATAAATTGCGAGTACTTTACTGCTTCTCAGATTGTGTTTCCCTCGTTGATTTAAAGCGAGAGTCCGTATTAAATCTCTCCAGAATCGAATGCAGGACAGGCAGCTTGGAAGTGAGCCAGAGGGAAGATACATTTCCTCGTCTGTTTTTTTTTTTAGACAGGCGAAAGTGTGGGAATAGGCCTACGTCTGTGTCAGACTGGGGGAGAGCCGGCAGCAGCAGCTCATCATGCTGTCGCTTCAGGACTAGCTGAACACGCTGTAGTCTAAGATTAGCTTCTGGAGACTTGACAGTTTCCTCTCCGAAAAAAAGAGACGTCAACATTTTGACCACTGCTCTCCCTCACGGAGATGTTCACTGGCAGGGACATAAAGCACCTCTTCATTTATAAACAATCCTGAGACCTTTGTGTACAGAATGATGTCTGCTGAGATTTTGAAATAGTTACTGTCTATTTAAAATGCTTCAAGGATTTTGGTGCATCAGCATGTACCACCCAAAAAGCACGAGACAAATGTTTATTTTCTGCATTTTTTTGCCATGAAAGGGATCCGTGTTTGTGTCCTGGATGAAAACTGTCTCATATTTAGTTTCATGTGAGACTCATAGGGTTGTAATCAAGACCACAGTAACCGAGACCAAGACATCCCAAGACCAGAGTGATCCAAGACAGAGACAAGACCAAGACATTTAGGGACCGAGACAAGACCAAGACATTTAGGGACCGAGACAAGACCAAGACCAAGACCAAGACCAAGACCAAGACCAAGACCAAGACCAAGACATTTAGGGACCGAGACAAGACCAAGACATTTAGGGACCGAGACAAGACCAAGACATTTAGGGACCGAGACAAGAGCAAGACCAAGACATTTAGGGATCGAGACAAAACTAAGACCAACGCAGGGCGAGACCGAGTCAAGACCAAGAACGTAAATACCAATGAAAAATCATGAAGTGTCACTCACTTAGTCACACCGGGAAGTTTGCAGACGTGAACAGGGGATAAAAATCAAACTACAAATGTATTAAAGTGAATTGTTCTCTTGGAAAGAGGTGTCATCCTTCTAATCAGACACTTCTGTAAACAGTGGTGGTCCTGACCGGTCTGGATTAAAAATCCAGAGTCTGGTCCAGACCGAGACCGAGACAAGACCAAATAAAAATGTTTTCATTCTCAGACCGAGACCGAGTCCTTCAAAAAGCCTTTCGAGTAATACATCAATAGGGAATCTTGCCTTTAAATGTGCACAATGCTGGGGCTAACTTAGTGGCAAAAACAGTCAAATGAAACTTCAAAACTCCCTGAGATTCTAACTCCCAAGTTTCCACATGCTATGCACTACACGCCATTCGCTGACACTCTAGTCAATGACTGACTTTCTAAAGTGGGCGCCGCGGGCCGTCTCTGGAGTGTGCCAGTAGCGCCACTGCACTCTGCACGTTTTTTAACATATTTTTTATTTAAGTAATGCTGCTTCTTTGGCAATAAAGTCAACAACTCTGAAAACTGACAACTATGATCCTATGGAACTTCACAACATCAAGAAAACTGTCTGTTCTCTTTGTTTTTATTAAACGATCCTTAAAGGCAGCACTTCCATCACTCAGATTCTTCTACATGATCAATTGAAAGCACATCCATGAGTAGAAACATAGCATGCCCTCTGATTTAGAGAACATGTTGTTGTGGCTCCAGAGGAAGAGTTTTAGTGTAAAAGTTTGCAGAAAAATAAAATAAGATCATTACGTGTCTGGCTGTACTCGTTTGCAGTTGAACTTCAAACATGTATACATACAAAGCCAGCCCAGCCCAGTGGGTAGCAGGATACAGTTCTTTAAATAAAAGGTGATGAGCCGTCAAGATACAAAAAAAAATAAAAAATCACACATTCTTTCATGAAGAACAGATGATCTATGAATCCACATTTAGGTCACTTGGCCGTCCCTCAATCTCAAAGCTGGCTGTAACACAAAGACTTTTCCAGTAGGAATATTTTTTTTGCCAAATGCGTGCACCATGTTGCCAAGGATACCGTCCAATAGAGTGGGCTTTCTGTGGCCTTGTGTCCCACAGGGGGCTCATAAACATAGTTCATTGTATGTATGTTGGAGGTTCACTGAGTTGTGGAAAATAAGTTGTGGAAGCAGCTTGTTCAGTATGGCTGTATATCCAGAGGTGTAGTGGTGACTGAAGAAATGGGAATACTATTTTTTAAGTGTCCCCGTCCAGCAGAGGAGAAACGGCCTCATTTATAAACTGTGACATGTAAGACTACTCTTGCATAGTCAGTATGTACGAGCCAATCAGAGACAGAGTAGGGAGGGTTATCACTTCACCATCCGAGGAAAACAAAATGCAGCATCCTACTGATCAACCATTGGTTTGAATGAGAGGAGATTTAGAATTGGGTGTACAGTGGGCTGACTGTTTTGTTGCATACATGAAGTCTCCTTTATTCTATATTTCTCCCCATGAAATCGTCAGGGTTGTCTGTCTTTGCATGTGCATGTTATCATGCTCCATTATCAGCCCTGTGTAGCCTCAGTATACGAGGAAAGTTGCACTAATTGTGATGTGGAAATACAGACAAATGTTGATTTCAAGCAGACCCCATCGTACATCGGAAAAAAAGAGCCATTATTATGAAGATTATGAACAATGAAGGGATGGATGGTGGAAGTTAATCCCTCACCCAGAAGCACGCACACACCAGCACCTACACCCCCGAATACAGCTGGCATTTTGGCGGCTTTATTTGACATGTCATCCATCTTCACACCCTGCATTAACAGTCCTTCCTCACACCTGGTCCCAGAACAGCTTGAGGCACGCTATCAAAGAAAAAAAATCCCTAAAGCCTCACTGAGTGATATTTTCCCACCAAGAAGAATGTGAAAATGTTGCTAATAAGCTCTCTAATGAGGCGTTGGCCGTATCATATGTTGCCGTGGTGATAGCGTTTGACCCTCGGTCTGAGCAGTTTTCTGTGTGTGTCGACGTCCTTCAGAAGAGATGTCACGAGTGTTTCAGCTGCAGCTGTAAAATGTCACTCAGCATCTTCAAGTGCTCTGTTGAAATTGTTGTTGAAATGTTTGCTGTGAGAAAACTCTGCTTGTCAATGACTTTAAAAAAAACATCTTGAAAGATGAAGAAAATGTAGCTTGTCAGTTAGTTTGAACTGTGGTATCCTGAAACAAGTTGTGGTAAAAAGCAGCATAGGAAACCTTTTGTTTTCACTGCTTGGTTTTTAACTGCACAAAAAACAATGCAAGAAAAGTATCTTAAACTTAAGTAGGGATAAAAATACACTGAGTTCATGAGAACAAAAAAGTTGCCTTTCTTATAGATGTATTTTTGAGCTATTTGTGCCTTTTACTGTAGAGACAGGACAGTGGATTTAGTCTGAGATCAAGGAGAGCGAGAGAGACAGTAAGGAATCACATATGGGAAAGGAGCCACAGGTCAGATTCAAAACCGGGCTGTCCACTTAGAGGACTATAGCCTCCAACATTTGGCTCACGCACTACGCTGCCAGCGCCCAGAAAGAGGCCATTGTAAAAGTCTGATTGGGCAACTCCAGTTCTGTGTATGACAAATCACAGTTAACTGTAAATACAGTCAATCGGTGAATTCCTCAAAGTGTGCTGAGATCAAAAAGGTAAACTGAGTTCTCATGCTCACTGAAACCTTCCAGCAGTGTCTACTTCTATCAGGTTGAATTGGAGTAAAATCAGCAGCAGCGTTAAATCATCCTTGCTGCATGTTGGGGGCTGTATTCTCTGGCTCAAATAAATATGGCCTCATGTTTTAGTCCAAAATATGTCAACACATAACATCCTCTGCACCTTCAAGATGCCATCATCTCTGTTCTTAGCGTAGTCGTGGAGCTATTTTGTAAAAAAAATAGAAAAAGCAAAGGTAGAGGACTAATACGACATACAATTTGATATAGGATACAATATGAAATCACAGACACTCTTTATTGTCCCTTTGGAGACATTTGTCTTGGCCTCCAGTGTTGCACACATTTAGCTGCCTCTACAGTTCAACCAGTCACTGAAAACAACAGAAACAAACAATCCAAATGTAAACAAGATGGAAACTACAAACAACATAGATTGCATATTACCCATAGTGCACAAGATTTGCATAAAAAACTAAAAAAATTATATAAAAAGATAAGAACAGGGGGCGCCGTTAGCAGAGTGGTTAGTGTAGGCACCCCATGTATGGAGGCTGTACTCCTCCAAGCGGGCAGCCCGGGTTCAAATCCGACCTGTGGCTCCTTTCATGCATGTCAGTCCCCACTCTCTCTCTCCCCCATTTCCAACTCTGTCAACTGTCCTGTCAATATAATAAAGGCACGTAAAGCCCAAAAAACAATCAGCTTTTTCTGTCTGGTTTCTGTGATAAAATAATAACAGATTTGACATCTTCCTCTTAAGAGGCACAGGGAACATCTGGAACAACATCAGGGCATTTTTCACACCGTTTATTTAATTCATATTAGGTTAGAAATCCATAAACACTCCCTTCAAAGCTTCATGTAAAATGGGACTAAGAAGTAGTCATACAGAGACTGTCCTTTAGTTCATGTATACTCAAAGCAAACAACTTGTGCCCAAAAATTTCAAATGAAACCAACAACAGATCTAAACCATGTTGTCTTTGTATGTTTATGTAACAGGACTACAGAGTCAACATCTTCCTGCGACAGCGGTGGAACGATCCCCGGCTGAAGCTTCCTCAGGACTTCAAGTCGGATTCTCTCACCGTCGATCCAAAGATGTTCAAATGTCTCTGGAAACCCGACCTGTTCTTCGCCAACGAGAAGAGCGCAAACTTCCACGACGTCACGCAGGAGAACATCCTCCTCTTCATTTTCCGTAATGGAGACGTCCTCATCAGTATGAGGTAATGAACGTCAATGATGTCAACAGCCATTATGGCATGTTTGGGACTTTTACAAAAAAATACTACAGGTGATTAAAAGACCAATGAAATGTGCTAAACTTGTTGTTTGTCCAAGCAGTAAATGTTCCAGGAAAATGTCACATAACTGTTTTTTATAATAAACCATTACTTTAATTTTTGTCAGGTAGTGACAGGTCTCTTTCCACATGACATCTATTTATATAATTACTCCAAGGGGAAATTTGAGAGACATGCTTCTCACACATATAGGCCCAAATGACACCCATGCACAAACAGGACCTGTGGACATGCATTAGTGGAGAGATGTCAGAGTGGGAGCACATCAGAGCTGTTGGGGGCTCGGTGCCTTGCTCAAGGGCACCTCGGCAGTACCTGCGTAGGGACCTGGCACCTCTCGAGCCACCAGACCAACTTCCATTTTTTTGTCTGCACCGGGACTTCGACTGGGAATCCTCTGGTTCTTAAGTCCCTACAGAATATACATTTTATGTGGAGCCATACAGCTAGGAACATGCAAGTCTTTCACAAAATGTCAGTCTATACGTAGGACCTGTCAAGTCTATGGATGTCACTATTGTATTACTCTCCCTCCCTGTGTGTGCTAGGATCTGTTGCTATTAGGAGATCAGTGAGGGTTTATTTAAATTGCTAAAGAACGAAGGGAGATGAAGTTTCAAATGCAGTTTGAATGGTTAAAATCTGTCACAGCTGAGATTTGGATGTTTAAACTCAAGTTAAGTCTCTTGAAGACAAGAAGTATAACATTATATATAACATTAGCTTACTGTGGGTGATTTCAACATATTGGTCTAGAGGGAAAAACAGGGAAACATTGATAAGAACATGATTCTCCTCCTATCATTCCTATGTGTGTAGCATAGTGAGCGTGAGAAAATAGCACCCAGGAAACGTAGATACAATCCCCAAACTACAAAGCTACATGGATACAAACTGTGACAGAAAGTTTCAGTACACAGCAGTGAGACCAGTTACTAAAATTACAAATCATAAATCGACACATTTCTTCGATCTTCATTAACCAATAAGTTGACTGCTCATGGCAAACACCACCACCTGTTCCAGGTCAATAAAGAGGCTGAATGAATGCAGTCCCATGTGAAACCAAATGGCTATTGAACGGCATCATCAGCAAAGCAAAGCGTGCCTAATGTAGCTTTCAACGCTTGTTTAGAGAAGATTAAAGAAAAGCATTATAGCAGTCAAGCCACAGGTGCACAGGACCATCTCCCACAAACCTTGATATGATAACATAATAATTAATCGTTTGTGTTTAATGACCCTGCAAACCTGCAACTTTTAACAATTCCTGCACATGACTCTCTGGGGTTCAATTCTTCTTTTTTCACTTGCTGGGTCAAACTTCATTAAGTCTGAGTGAAATCTTGAAAGCCAATGACTGTTTACATGCATAGCATTCGATCAATACACTTTTTCATGTTCAAAGGGGCCTAAATGGTAACTTCTTGGGGTGACATATACATACATCGTGCCCTGAGATGATCCTGGTGAATTTGTCTTTCACTTTGAGTGTAACATCATTTGTTTATCCCCGCACAAATGCATCTCTAGTAAAAAGAGACATCTGGGTAAACCCTTCAATCCCATGAGATTTCACGACTGAACTAGAGTCATGCAAACAAGGTTTGAGTGTAAGACTGACTGGATATAAGAGGGGGAAATTATAATTAAATTACATCTGTCTGCGTCCTCCTCCAGGTTGTCCATCACCCTTTCTTGTACATGCATAGCATAAGATCAATACACTTCATCTTCCATGGGGCTACAAATACTCTCTAGGTTTCAATCACCCACAGAGAGAGAAAAAAAAACAGAGCATGATAAAAAGCTGAAATTGTGATTTTTCTTCATCCTCCTCCAGGTTGTCCGTCACCCTTTCTTGTCCGCTGGATCTGACGTTGTTCCCCATGGACACACAGAGGTGTAAAATGCAACTAGAGAGCTGTGAGTTTTTCTTTAAATGATATCACCTTACACCCCATCATCAGTTAAAGTGCAACTTGAATGACATTGCATTGCTTTTGTCTGCTACAGCATCTGTATCTGTTTGTAAGCTGTAACTGGTAAATGGACTTGAGCTTGTATAATCTGACTACTCAAAGCACTTTTACACCGCAGGTCACACCTACACATTCACACACTGATGACATAGGCTGCTATCAGAAGTAACTTATCCCATTCATACATACTTCTACGCCGCCGCCGAAGCAGCGGGAGCAACTTGGGGTTAAGTGTTTTGCCCAAGGACACATTGGACATTTGGCTGCAGGAGCCACACACTGTATTCTGAAGGTTAGCTTGTTGAACTCACAACCAAACATTTACAGTTGATAAGAAAACGGCTAATGTGATACTGCAGGCTAGCTGTTAATTAGCTGCTCAGCTACATCACTTAAAATATCATGGGACTGTGCCTGTTAAAGCCACTTTGGTTTGTTTAAAGTTTGTATGGTCTTCACTCTTCAATACCACCAACAACACACTGTGGTAGACGTGGCTGTGGCTCAGTGGTAGAGTCTGTCGTCTCTCAACCAGAAGGTCAAGGGTTTCAAACCCCAGCTCCTGCAGCCACATGTCCGATGTGTCCTGGGTGCAAGACACTGAACCCCAAATTTCTCCTGCTGCTTTGTCTGTGGCGTATGCATGGAATGACCTAATACTGATGGACACTTAGCAGCCTCTCCCATCAGTCTGTTAATGTGTAGGTGTGACCTGCAGTGTAAAAACACACACACTTGTGTTATCAACAGCTAAGTTTGCAAGCTAGTATGGTCTTGGTTTTTTACACCGTCAAAATATAGCAAACTACTTACAGCATTCAGGTGACTTTTCATGCTTGTTGTGCCACCGAGGTAGGCCAGTTTCAAATTGCATATTTGGCACACTGCCTTTGTCTTTTCTTCTCTTAATTTAAAGTGTTCCCCACATTGTGTACCAATGCTTGTGCTCGTGCATGAACTGTATCGTGCAGAAACACACCTCTTCCAAGCATGCCAGGGCCAAGGAAGTGTACCGTGATTGAGCACAGATCGGAGGTCTCACACTAGTCAAACAAACTGGACTTTGAGGTTGAAGCGTGCTTAGGCATTATACGGATTGTCTACTTCTTCATGTGTAGGCTACAGTAGTACTTGTTTACTTTGTCCCTTGTTCCCCTAAGGTGTAACACCAGCTCCGTGGCACCCTGCTGTCATTTAAACACACCAACATGCACCTCCAGTCTCTCTGTTTATCATGTCTGCCTAAAGTCCTCTTTTCTGCCTTTTATTATACAAATGTGTTAACAACATATTTAACACACCGTGAAACGTTATTCCTGACACCAAAGGGAGACTGGACTTTTAACCCGTCTTCTTGTTAGTATTAGGAAGATACAGTATTAATGTGTTGGGAATCCATTTGTTGTTTTTTATAAAATAGTTGTTTTGGGGGTAAATAAAAGCTTTTTGCTTGTGTTTAGAAGCCATTTTCAGTGGGGGGCACTTAGAGCAGTGGAATAAATCATCATATTTTAAGGCTGTTGTGAAAGTCTCGCAGCTAATTGAGCTCGACTGTGGTTATTGCATCTTGTTTACAAAGCAGTTTGGACCTAAATAAGCAAAATGACTTCAAGCCATTCCCACTAATGCTAAAGCTGACGGCTGAGACTTAATGCTTTCTGCTCGTCTGTGTGCGTTTATATCATGTTGTAAGTTCCTGTTTATGAGTGTGATAAACATGCGAGCAGATACTGTGGGCTTTTACATGAATATAAACATGCATGTGTGAGCACGCTCCTTTGGTTTACACGATATATTTGCATGTATGTGTGTGTGGGAGTGTTTCACTTTCTGTGTTGGTTTGTGATTCTTTCGTTCAGTTGGATACACCACGGACGACCTGCAGTTCATGTGGCAGACAGGAGACCCCGTGCAAATGGACGCCATCGCTCTGCCACAGTTTGACATCAGACAAGAAGATATTGATTACGGGAACTGCACAAAATTCTATGAAGGAACAGGTACGGGTCCTTGTTGTAATTTTAATTATTTGGAGGTCTTTTAAGTTTTCTGCAGAAGTTCCTGACAGGAGCTTTAATACTATATTACTGAGTTAATGTGTATAAGGGGGGTTTCACATTAGGGACCCGGGCCCGGATCTGAGTACGCAGGACCCCGAAGTCTGGTTCATCTGATCAGTGTGAACACAAACATACCGTACCGTACTCGGGTACTGTGCCTGAGTCCGCTTGAAGAGGTGGTCTCGGGCATGATTCATGTGTGCTTGAGTACTGTCCTCAGGAGATGTGAACGCAACTGTGCTCAAACAAGGAAGTGGACCGCTATAAGACGCGATTCTAAACGGCTCCTGACGCTACAAAATCAGTTGTATCCACGCAGCACGGGCCCGTTTCATCCTCTGAGCTGCACGGTAGATGTGGAAGTAGGAAGAGGGTCGTTGTTGGCGTCTCAGAAATAACAAAAACATCCACAGTTAGCAGGATGGACTGAGTCTATGCTCAGTCTGTGAATGGTTGCCATGGTTGCTTCTTCTTCTTTCTGCTTTTTGGCAGATTTGCAATCCAACTATGTGCAATCTGCCACCTGCTGCATCGGACTGTGTTCATACTCAAGTGTACTCGTGTAATGAACACTGTTACTAATGTGAACGTAGACCAGCGGGGGAGAGGGGGGGGGGACATTGTGCTTGGGTGTGGTATGAAACAGTCATGCCTAATGTGAACAGGTGAGATTCCTTGCAACATGGTGATGTACCATCTAGTAATGTTGACACACGGAACGCCACCACCCCGTAACGCAGTGTCAGGAGGTCGTTTCAGAGGCCGCTGTGAGATCAGGTTGTCCTTTCCATAATTTCCATCTAAGACTATTTTTAAGGCTCATCAAAGTTTTGACTTCTATTCATTTTTTTGGCTTCTCTTTCTTCCATTCATTAATAATTCTTTCTGAAAAGTGAACATTATGTTCTGGATCGGCTCAAAGCTTTGAAAAATGATCTTGGACACCAAAAGTAGGTCCACATGCCCGGTGCTTGTCCTGATTATTAATAACTTGGCCAAGAAGCTGATGTTTTCACTTCATCAGCGAGTCATGACATTTCGAAATCTGTCTTTGGACACAACTACAAACCTTTTTTATTTGTTATCTTGATCTTGTTGTCACATCAATTGACGGACGGGCCGTGTTTTTGAACTGTGTTGATTTGTTTTCTATTCCATTGTTGCCATCGTACCCGCGGTTCTCAAGGTCTGAGTTAGGATGTCAGCGGTGGATGATTGGCCTTTTTGTTAAGCTACGAGTATTTGGGTTCAGTTGATTGAAAGATGGAATCTTTCAGTCAGATCCTGGAAGCAACAAACACGCTTCAAGTGCACGTTCTTATCTGACTCCAGGTAACCATCTGTCTATCTTTCTTTCTGGTAAAGGCCGGAGGATTATTACACCTCAATCCTTGCTTTGTTCAGAGAAATTAGATTGAAACGTCTTGATAGCCCGCAATAAAGAAAGTGTGCACTGTGGATTATATTGCAGAGGGGGGCAATGCCCAGACAAAGTTGTTCTTGGATCATTTAATCAACTTAAATTGATTTTGAAACTCTGAAGAACTCCCAAAAAATGTTCCTCTCTGCTCTTATACAAAAAAGAGCTAAAAAAAAACACCGCACATAAGACCAGACTTAGTGCTAAAACTCCATATCAGTTATATCTACTTAGATTTAAGACTATTGTGAGGGTTAAGTGTGGACAAACAAACATTGGTAGTTCTGTGGTAAGATTCAACCCACAGTTACATAAAATATCTATTAAAAAAATAAGGAACACATGAATAAAAAACTTGCCTTTGGTTAGAAATTAATCCACGCATACGTACATTAAGAAATTAAAGCTGCCCTGTGGAAACTTCTGTAAACAAATACAAGCTAGTATTACATTCAGTGTAACTCACTAAAAAAGCAAAGTGTGTCCTTCAGGTCCAACAAAGCTAAACACATTTCTGTCGACATCTGCAAAGCAGTATTAGATCTTTAAATAGAGCATTGTTTCCATCCAGAGGAATCTGATCTCCTATGTACTACAGGTAGCGTATTGCATCACTTCCTGTTCTGTTCTCCGCTGCTGCAGTGTTGTTCTGTGCTGATTGACAGAGCTAAAGCTTCATTGTTAATCTTTCCCAAGTTTCTTACAATTGTTGTTTCTAAAAAACGGTACGTTTTGAAGTTATCAAAGAGCACTCTCAGACTAATCTGCTAAACAGTTTCCCTTATTTTAACTACCTACTCTCAGGCTAGCTTAGCATTTAGCTTCATTTACAATGGCTTCTTTTTCTGCCTCTCCCTCTCTTGTGTTCTCTTCTGCTCAGATGTTTAGTTACTCCTCATCCTCCTTTACTGGTAATGGTACATGTAAGAAATGTAGTTTATGTGTTAAATTGTGTATAAATTAAATGTATATCTAATAAACCTGGAGCATTAAACACGCTGCACCGGCCACATTCTCCACATATTGGTGGAGCTAAAATATATTCATAAAATAAAAAGGAATATAAAATGTTGAATAAAGTCTTTGAACTGAGCCATCCACACATTCAGACCAATATGAGTACCAAAAACAGCAGAGAAATACAAATGAATGGAAAAACCTCTATCAGCCAACAAAGTCGGGATGACCTTAGTGCTCTCACACTTTGGAGGCTCAACACTGGCAATGAGTCAGCCTTTTTAACAGGTTGTCATGGCAACTTTGCCAGACACAAAGATCCCCTCTGTGTGCGAACGGTGGGAGCCGGCTCTGCGACACAGGCGAACTCTTATATGCTGTATTAAGCTCACTGCAGAGATCCCTGGGCTGGTTAAATATGACTTCAGCTCATCCACTCCACACTGTAGGAGGTCTGAAGGGTATCGGTGCTTTCTCCATACTGGTGTAAACCGACTAATGGAAACCGTATTTCCAGCAGAGATGGATTGGAAAGAATTTATCATTTCTGAATGTTGCACTGTTGAAAGAGACATGCTCCAGTCCACTTAAAGTCATACATGATCATGGAATCAGAGATTTTTGGGGTGCTGGTCTGAGTGCTGAACAGGTCCCACAGCATTAAGTTAGCCAAGTTGATGTTGAAGGCCGCCTGCCCATTGACCTTTCTCTTTCATTATCATCACTTTTTCTTTTACAAATGTGCTCAGCTTCGCTTGGCTTTGCACTCACGCAGAAGAAGGTAGATACAAAAAAACATTTGCTCACTTGACGATCACACAACTTGATTATTGATTTATCATGTTGCCTTTGTTCTATACCTCGGTATCTGTTTAATTCAGAATATATTGCTTCTGAGAAATAAACAAAAAAATGCCAACATTTCATACAATTCATTCAATGACTACATTAAGTTATTTACAGTTGTTTGACTAAAATGCTTGTTGTACCACTGGCAATAACTCATGAACGACCCAACATTTTCCACAGTCCTCCCATGCTGCCAAACTTGCACAAATGCATTCATTTGAGTCGACGCGAGTTTGTCGGGACTTAGATGAACTTAGAAGAAGCCCCACTTTGTGATTTCAGTGCTGGATATACCAATGCCTACCTCTCATCTTTAAATCTTAAGACTAACTGGATGACTAACTTTGGTTATCTAATGGTGTTTGAACTTGTTCTTCTTGCAGGGTACTACACTTGTGTGGAGGTCATCTTCACTCTCAGGCGACAGGTTGGCTTCTACATGATGGGTGTTTACGCCCCAACCCTGCTCATCGTAGTCCTCTCCTGGCTGTCCTTCTGGATCAACCCTGATGCCAGTGCTGCCAGGGTACCTTTGGGTACGGATGACTTAATCAATCCCGCAATCTGCCACTGAAGTTTACCAATCCATTTGATCTGTAGATAGTCCTTGTGGTGTTCAACCAGGGCAGATAGAGCGTATGGTTGGTGGGATAAAACAAAAGATGTATGAAAGAGTGTGGATGCTATGGAGGTAAGTAAGTGTGAAAAGTATTGTTGTAAAAAGCCATGGGGAAAAGAAAATGGTAGATAAAACGAAAACCGTAGTAGGATTTATGGTTTTTTAAGGATCACTGACACTGTGGCCCCAATCATCCCCATCACGACATTATCAATCACTTTGACATCCTGAAGGACTTTTATCTATCAAGCATGGAACCATGTCCAGTGTTGTTGTATGAGTGATAAATCATTGGATTGTCTGAAATCACACTTGTTGACTACTCACTACTCCATTCATAAGGAGTTCTATATAGTGGACCACATAGTGAACTCTCCATCACAATAAAGACACCACTGTCTGTCCACTGAGCTGCAGATGATCGCGGATGGAAACAAGCAGTTGGACGATGGCTGTTCTCTTGGCAATGTGGCTCCTGTACTTTCTGATCACAACTTCCTGTTTCCAACTCCATGTTTTTTTTCTTAAAAGGACCACTACTTGTCATAGAAAATAACTACTACCTAGAAAAAATATTAGGAACTGAACTACGGTTACAGAATAATGACACTATTCTCCATCGTGACAACCACTGATAATGACTTCACTGCGGATGCACGTTTAAAAGGTGCAGCCAAGGATCAATAATACGGTAAATAATGGCAAAAATGTCATTAATAACTAATATTATACTGAGTGTATTTTCTTAATAATAATCAATAATAATACTAAAAGCTTTGCACCGCAATGCATGATGGTACATACTGCTTGATTAGTGACCATTGGTTGCATCCTTCTTTTCACAGTGCATTATGGGTAACAACAGATTCCACTACATAGGGTATAATAACCCTCACTCATAATTAAGACAGCACAAAAAATGTCGACTGCCCTATAGTTCACTATATGATGAGTAGTGGGTGATTTCAGGACCACCCTTGGACTTAACCCTAACAGGTTTGGTGTTCATGTCGGTCACTGAGCTGCCAACACACTCAATCATATCTAATAACCAAATGTCTAAAATATATCATACTGCCCCTTTGGGTTTGGTTTAGTAGCTAGCCACTTTGCTGTTCATCTATGTTTTCATGCCTGTTAGTCACAGACACAGTTTTCCAAAATTTAACAAAAAAAATTTATATTCAAGTTTAAATCATGCAGGGACAAGACTTTGATAATGAAAGGAAAATGACATCAGGCTCTTGTCTCTCTGGTAAATTCTTATGCAAATCACTCTGCGCATCAAGGGTTTTTCAGGAGACAGGGAGAGCCAGTTGACACTCAGGGGGCCAACGAGGCACACCTGATCCTTTTAACCCAATTAATGAAGAATATGCTGAGGGGCATGAGGAGTAGGGCTGTTTTTCCCTCAACCACAGAGGAGCACAATTTGCCCAAACTGAAATAGGTCGAGCTAGATAACTGGACTGTGAGCCTGAGGGGATGCTGAAAGGGTTTGGTACTACTCCATGTTGGAATTGCAGGTATAAAACAGATCTCCAGTGTCCCTCTCACTTTCAGTTTTCACTTCACCTTTCATGATGGATAAGGGGAACAAACCTCTTAAACAAGGTTCATAAGCTAGTTGGAAAAAATGTCCATTCCACCTCCTACTTCTCCTCCTCCCCGATAACTAAACCTGTGTGTAATATGTCAGTGTCATCCACATACAGCATCACACGGGCACCATTGTGTGTGCAGGGCTGCATGGCTAAGATAATCATTTTTTTTATCCCAAACCAGTCTTCCACCACCTCCTTTCTCTCCATCCTCCCTCCAGTTGTTTATCACCACTTTCATCCCATCATCACTCCGATTCCTCCTGGAAGCCTCCTCTGACTCCTCTCTAAATGGGATCAGTCCAGGTCAGTCGACACCCAGGTGTGGGACTACTCTCATTTATTGCTCTGTGCTGTGCATGTGTGTGTGTTTCCCTGTGTTAACTGGGAGTCTGTGTTTTTATGTGCTTACTGTTTTCTTTCCAGATAGATGAAATATTAAAGGTAACCCCAACAATGGTTTACAATTGCATTACAGAAACAGTCTGAATCAAAGAGCAAGTTTATACATGCAGCTGAGTGTGTCATAGGGGAACAAGGGAAACAAAGCTATTTCAGTATCGCCACCTTTCATGTTTCCCTCTGCTCATACATAATAGGTGGGTTTCAGACTTGACGACGCTCTCTTCAACGCTCTGTTCCAGAGAGGAAGGAGCAGTCTTGATCCTGAACCCTGTATGAACTCTTCCTTGATGAGTGACCATAATGAGGCGTGGAGACAAACCCCCTCGGTCATCTCTTTGTATTTATTATCTCTCTAAAGAATCATTACAGTAGGTGAGGGGAGTGAAGCCCGTCATTTGTGGTCATAAAACCCTCAGAGGAGTCATTGGAGTTTCTGTGATGTAGCCGGTGCCTGTGCAGGTCAGAGGGGATCGCTAACCTGTAATCGTGTTAGCAATCAGAGATAAAAACAATTTACATTCATGATCATTAGAGAGTGTCTGAGCTCTTGGAGATGACCTGATATAAGAGGTAAAGAACGGTCATGGAGTTGTAGTTGTAGTCCTCTCTGCATGGATCGGATTCTGTACAGTTTATATTTAAAGAGACATTTGGTCAGTATCTCGAGCTCTTAGTGGGAAATTAACCAATTTTTTCTCCAATCAGTGGATGGATTATTGGCTCCCTCACAGTGGAAACAAACATTTAACCGACACAATAAAGACTGACCAAAGTTAGCGGCATATGTTGCCAATTATAGTAACACCATCAGAACTATCTGGAGCTGGATAATGATCAACAATACTCCAAAATGCATCCAAAGCACCAACTATCCAAAACTGGAACATACAGTTATTGGGGATGACATTAAATCACTGGTCCAAGTTGTTGTTGTCCAGTTTAAGTCATTCAGATAGTCAGATAGTCTTTAGTTTTTTCCTGTATCTCTGCTCCTGTTTGGATTAGAACTAGCACATTTTGGTAAATTTCTCTTTGGCTTCTGTTTGTTCATACCAATCAACACCATACGATATGATACCATAGCATAGGATACACTTCATCATCCCCTTAGGGAAATGTGTCCTGGACTCCAGGACTGCTCACACATAGCTGCCTCCACAGTAGACCCAGTTATTAAAGAACATTAAATTCCTCTCTTGCATTGTTTCAAAAACCACCCAAAGAAACTACTGGTGTTGGTAGTAGTATGAAAAATATCACAGACAGCGATTGAAGTTAGAATTGTGTGTTTCACATCCAGCTTCCTCTTACTTTATGACTGATAAGGTCACTTGTCTCCTCTCCTTGTAAAGGCATCCTCTCGGTGCTCTCCCTGTCCTCCGAGTGCACCTCGCTGGCTTCAGAGCTGCCCAAAGTGTCCTACGTCAAGGCCATCGACATCTGGCTCATCGCCTGCCTGCTGTTTGGTTTTGCCTCGCTGGTGGAGTACGCCGTGGTTCAAGTGATGCTCAACAGCCCTAAGCGTATCGAAGCGGAGAAGATTAAGATGGCAGCCAAGGATAAAGCTGCGGGAAAGATTCCTGCTACCAAGAACAACACGGTCAACGGGACGGGAGGGACGCCACTTCATGTCAGCACCTTACATGTCAGTACATCTGCTTTGATAACTTTTGTATATGTTTGTGTGTCTTAATTAGTGGACTATAACGATAGCTGTCTGCATGTGCTCAAGCAAACCTGCTCTTTTAAGATAAATAGTTATGTCAAACACACCACAACATTTCATTGCTGGTGCTTTTTTGGACACTTTGTGTTCACTTTGCAGTTTGACATGAATAAAAAGTACCATCTAATCTACAGTAACTTTAGCCCCGTTTCCACCAAGCGGTCCGGTTCAGTTGCGTTTGGTACAGTACGCCTTCATTGATCTTTCCACTCTCAACCAATTGTGAATGAAACCAAAATAACCAATCCGTACGGTCCAACTATTTTGCTACCCTTCTTTTGGTCACTAGGTATACTGATCCTAGCCTTAAGGCTGGAGCGAGACGCACTGCAGTTGGTTGATTGGTCTAAACAATCTTCACTTCCTGTTTGACAGTGTTTAAATACCCCGTGGATTTCAAGGCTGTTGTTTTCTTTGCAACTAACGTCAGTCGGTAGCACCACCCCATGGACGACCTCGGAGGTGCAGACCTCTGCTGGACGTCCTCCATTGTTGTCCTTTGGTTAAAGGTTGAACGTTGAACTTATTGTCGACTACACTGTGTCTCACTGCTATGGTGTTTATTACTAAGACTTCTACTACTTTTACATAGTTGAAGCAGCTTTCACCATCGGGCTTACACCCCGTCTACCTATTGAGGGTACTGTTCGCTGTGGAAACGCAAGCAAGGTCAGGGTTTACGGTACCAAACTGTACCGAACCAAACCAGACCGTTTGGTGGAAACAGGGCTATACTGTACTATGACAAAATGCATATTTCAGATCTGACATCAGGCAGGTATTTAGCAGCGAGGCATACAGATCTTATTTACATTCAAAACACGCCAAATTAGCGTTTCATTTGTGGAAAGAATAATTCCTTCAGTTTCAATAGGGTCCTCGCTCCGAGGTCGGTGCTCGGGTCTTAATTAGGAAGGATTTAGAAATTTCAAAAATGGTGGCTGTCATGTTGGGTTTTGACGATGGGTGCAAGAGGATTTTATGTAGGTCCTGACATGTTTTATATGCATATAAAATATCATGCATGTAGGTAAAAAAAAAAGTCTATAGGGAGAATTTTTTTTAAATTTCTAGGGGGCGCCCATGAGATATTTAGCCAAAACACTTCCACACGTAAATTTCACTTACTCTTGAACTTTTTGCAAAGTTTGGTGAGTTTTCCAGCATGTTAAAGCCCCCAAATAATCTGTGCAAAGAATAATTCCTTCAGTTTCAATAGGGTCCTCGCTTCTAAAACTGTAGAGAAGTCTGGATCACACACTAACAAAGCTCGGACAGAACTCAAGTCAGACACTCACAGGAACATCGGGCATGCTGTAAGTCGTCGGCTCTTCCAACTGTTGGCCTAATTGGAATTAATTTATCTCTAGCTCTGTTAGTTAGGACCACATTTGAGTTTAGAGGATTACATTATTCCATTGAGGTTTAATGGGTTTTCTTGTCAAAACCAAATCGAAATAATGAAGCCTTAATGAGCTTAATGACTTCAGTGAGTAAGCAGCCATAGTCTGATTAGATCCTGTTCACCCTGCAGGCCTTCAGGGACGTTGATGAAAGGGATTTTTGGATGACATTAAACTACATCCTTCTGTTGATAGATCTAATAAGCACCGGTTGTCCACTGGGATAGCATGCAGAGTGCAGATGGGCTTCAAGACCGGGGCATAAGAGAACATCCAAATTAGGCAACACTGTAAAGCACAAAGTACATCTAAATTTGGCTCCAAAGACCGGCCTTTTTTCTCTTAAAATAACAGTTGTTGTTTCTGTCCAAGCTTCAGGATCAAACAGATCCTTTACTGGGTTTTCAAAGTGGAGTCAGTTTTCAATCCAACAATCCTAAAGGGCCTCATTTAAATGTTTCACACAGTGAATGTGACGCCATGCTTTCATTGCTACTGTTTACACACACACACACTTTTATGCATCCAACAGAAGTCAGACAAAGTAGAGAATTCAGAGGGCTCTTGTATAATTGTAGAGTCAGAAAAGTCTCTACACTGATTTGTGCAGTTTGGTCGACCTATAAAGAATCTAAAAAGAAAAGACATTAAATGTTAACCAAGCACAAACAAACAGGGATTGTTGTTTTGTGTCAATACTCAGTTCTTACCTGAGTCTGATCTTTCTTGTCAGAGAAACTCAAAAAATATATTTTTGACATTTCAAATGAGACTTTAGCAAGCTCAAACTTTGTCCCATTACAGAGAGGTATTGAAAAAGCTGCACAAAGTCAATAGAAATGGTCAGCAGTGGCTGTTTGTTGTTGTGGTGTAAAGCTATCATTGCATCTGTACCTCTCTCTAATCCATCTCAAGCATACACAATAGACTCAAATATATATGTAGCTGGGGGGAGGGGCTTCTCTCTCCTCCCAGCATATCATGTACCTCCTGTCCTATCCAATGAAGACAAAAAAGGCCCCAAAAATAGCTTAAAAGTGAAGTCTACTGAACAAACCAGATTGCGATCCAATAATTAGGACATGAAAGAACTCTGAGGCACTCTCTCTTTTTAAACAATTAAAGAGCCTTTATTTTCATGGCATGATCCTGAAGAAGATTTGATGCCAAACACGTCAAAGTTTGCTTCAAGAGCTACAGGACAATGCCATGAAAATAAAAAGTCATTTCAGTTTTAAAAGAAAGACTTTAAGTGTTGTTTTCTATGACTGCATGTTTCCCTATCCAGAGTGACTAAAACCAACTCTGCTTTGAGTCCAGGGAGTGCTCCTTCCTGTGTATTTTAAGATAACGGTTTGATTAGTATTTGGATGATCATCATTTTTAGTCTCGGCTCTGTGCGCAGTAATCCCACTCTGCTCCTCATCAGTTCAGATTTTAAGAACTTTGTTGAGGCTGCACATCCTGAGGGGCAGCCGGCGGCACCCTCACAGACTTTTAGTCTAATCGTGTCCTGGTGTATGGATTCCAGATAGTAGTAGATAAATGCACTGCTGCAGACTGTTTTTAGTCCATCCTGTTCACCCTCATCTCTTTAACACCCAGGTGGCCGAGACTCGCTGCAAGAAGGTGTGCACCTCCAAATCGGACCTGCGGACCAACGACTTCAGCATCGTGGGCTCGCTCCCGCGGGACTTTGAACTGTCGAACTTTGACTGCTATGGGAAGCCGATCGATTTGGGCGCCGGTGCTGGCAAATCCCAGTCCAAGAAAAACAAGAAACCCCCTCCTCCGAAACCTGTGATCCCCTCGGCGGCTAAACGAGTCGACCTATACGCCCGAGCCCTATTCCCCTTCACCTTCCTCTTCTTTAATGTCATTTACTGGTCCGTATACTTGTGATTACCTTGAAATGATCTTGTATTTTTAACCCTTAAAACATCACACACGTGGGTGCTTTGATGAGCTGAATATTTTACAAAAGTAAAAAAAATAAAAATGAATTATTATTCATAAAAAATATACTATGAATTATTATTATTACACTTTATATGACAAGATCCACTCATCATTGTATCAAAATGATCACAACTTTCTTTTCCTTAAGTGGAAATATAGCATCTTGTATTGAAAAACTTGATTTATTGATAATGGTACTCGAGAGGCTCCGACAGGATTGCAGATATAGCTGTTGTGATGAATGGTGTGTAGACAAATCCACTAAGATTGATTGAGTAACGAGCGAGCAGAAGACGCACAGATCTATAAAAGTAAAATATCTAATCTATAAAATAGCTTTTTTCATTTCCTGCCCTTGCAGAGCGGGTGTTTGTCCTAAAGTTCTGAGTTAAAGCACAGTTTATTTATGCTCTAATGCAAAGTGTATTTTTTGCATGTTTTTAAAAAAAAAAAAGCATGTATATGAAGATAAAGCCTTTAAAAAAAGTAAATATATGAAGTCATTAGATTGATTATTCTTATGAGTTGCTCTTGAGAAGATGAAGAGGATTATGTGAAACACTGTTTCCCAGTCCAGATGGTCATGTGACACTGCCGCACTCCTTAACTCATGATGTTTGCAACACTCTGCTCCTGTCCAGATGGTCATGTGACACTGCCACTCCCATCACACTGTAACTTTTGACATCCTCCACCTTGTGTAAATGGGTCGCCCGTGAGGGTCGGCCATGTTTGTGAAATTTACAAGCAAAGAATTAAATGACTTTTCACCGGTTGTTGTGACTGAAAGTGGATTTGTGACGTTAAAAGGAATCAGTCGGAGTGCAGCTTTGACTGACTAAAGCTGTGTCCGACTAACATGACTCAAAATCAGCCACAAAGTCAGTGAAGTAGCTGCCTTGATCTCTGTGTTGTTCTCCAATGAGCGGACGCAGACCCTCTTTTTTTATTTCAAATCCGCCTGTCTTGTTTAGTTTAGTTTATTCGTTTATTCGTTTATTGGAATAAGGGACAGTGTTGTCTCAGAAGAGAAGATATGCTTTGTACCAGATTTAGCTAACTAGCTTATTTCCATCTGGTGTCCCTGGTTCAGATGGCAAGAGTAACACATACACACACATACACACACACACACTAATAATTGGTTTCAACGTAGGTCCCACCTCTGACAGGGTTTATAGCCACACCTCATAGTTTAGGATTTTTGGGATTGCAACTGGGGTGGCTAATCAGATTTCTAGGGGGGGCCCATGCCTCCCCTGGCCACCCCTCTGGACACGCCCCTGAAGAGGAGAGGGACCATCAGCCCTCAGTTCAAGAGGCGACATCCGCAATGGTAAGGTGGTGCATTGGTGCAGGGATCCAGATATTGGGGACCCCCACTGTCTGGGTGGTCATGGCTATATAACATAGCATTTGTGAAGGCCCCATATATCCACACACATCTGTATATTTTGATGCTGTTTTACTTAAAATCGACCCTCAGCATCTGCTCTGCTCGACCCACATGTACCCTGCACATCACACAACAACACAGCTGGATCCTCCTCGGAGTCTTGACCTCTTCTAATCTACCAAACCAGGTCAATTATTATTCATGCAAACCTGCTCGGGGGAGAATGACCCCTGACTACCATTGCAAGACTTCTCACATGAAATCTGTCTCTGGCTTAATGATGCAAGATAGACGCTGATCTAACGCCATGACAACAAATGGTTAAATATAAATAAGTTTTGAGGCACATTGGCCTCAGGATTGCATAAGGAGCAGAGAGCTAAATTGTCATTGTGAGGGTTTTTATTTTGGTGAGCACAGAAAACAAAACTCTCTCTCTCTCTCTCTCTACCTCTGCTCTCCATCTCTCTCTCTCTCTGTTGCTGCCATGGTTACAGACATGGGAATGAATTTTTGTCTGTCACTATAAACACCTGCCTCAGACACAAAATGTGAGTCAGACTGAACCAGGCTCGAGTGAATAAGGCCTCAAACATCACAGATCAGACATGAGTCATCGCCAGAAGTTTTTGTTTTTTTAATAGGTTGAAAAATACATTTACATGTGGTTCTTTTTGAGCGACCTAAAGACTGATTTCTGCTCTGACTGGACCTCCAACGAGAGAGATTCTGCGCCACAGTGCCCTCTAAAGGCCAGATCAATATTTGTTGGACGTAATAAGGGAGTGAAATACACTCCTGGGAGAAAAAACAGATGAAGGAGCAGGCTGAGGATAACGGTACAGCCAGAAATGATTTGTGTTATGTGATGTAAATACAAAATAACTCAAACTTAGAAACAATTTGAATAAGTCTAAAGAAGAGAAAATGATGTTACTGCCTTGTTATATCTGTTATCTAATGTATGTTTTTAACTTCCTCAACTACTGACAGATAGTTGTGTTATTGTTGTCAAGGGATACGAAAAATAGCCTAATAATAAACTTCATCCTATTTCTTTTTGGAAGAGGTTTGTTGCTTTGTAAATAGTGTTGTTTGGTTTACTCGTCACTCTTTTTTTGTTGGGTCATATTTTTACTATTTAATTAACAATTTTCTCCAGGGGCGGTTCTAGAGTCTGTTGGGGCCCTCTGCAAAGATCAATTGGGGGGCCCTCAAACCAGAGTTCAGCATGGTAACAAGAGTGAGTGCTGTCAGATGGGGCCCCCTTAGGGAGGTTTCCTACTTTAATTGCAAAATGTGTACATTTTCCAGCAAATAAACCTTAAAGTTCAGAGTTTAAAATTACATTTAATTCTTAATTTTAACCTGAAGAAGCTATAAAGTGATGAAAATCATATTAGTGACAAAAATCTATTTACATTTCCTGTTTTGATCTGACGAGTTATAGATACAAGAAATATTTCAATATGCATCGGCTAAAAGAGAACTGATGATGAAGGAAAAACTAATTAACAGCACCATGACGGTGGGTTTCTGAAAAACACACTCGTGTCACGAGCATAAGTGTGTGTGTGTGTGTGTGTGTGTGTGTGTGTGTGTGTGTGAGAGTGTGTGTGTGTGTGCGTGTGCGTGTGCGCGTGTGTGTGCGCGCGCGTGTGCGCGCGTGTGTGTGTGTGTGCGCGCGTGTGTGTGCGCGTGTGTGCGTGTGTGTGTGCGCGTGTGTGCGTGTGTGTGTGCGTGTGTGTGTGTGTGTGTGTGTGTGTGTGTGTGTGTGTGTGTTTGTGTCCGCCCCCACATCTCAGCACCCTGCTAGTATCTCCGTGCAGTAACCTATATCACACAGGGTGCTTTCTAATCCAACACGACCTCTCACCACGACGCCACCCGGCCCGGCGAGAAGAGCACCCTGACAGTCAGCCAATGATTAGTGGAGGAACAGTGGGGGAGGAGAGGCCACAGGGTTTATTGGAAGCTTGTTTACTGTGAACAAGGCTTTCACACGTCACTGCTGTGCTTTTACATCCTTACCCTCAAGTCCCAGAAATAGATAAGGACGGCGTAAACCTTTTCGTTTTCTCAATAAAAAGCAGAATAATACACCTCTTTAAATGAAATGATCTTATCAGAAAAAAAAACAAGGATTTCTCGATTAACGTGGATTAAAAGCATCACATCATGATGTGATGTGTGTATTTCAGAAACTACAAATGTAAGTCAACATCCAATGAAAAACGGGCTCTGCATAGGAGGAGGTTTGTAGTAATGGGGTGTCCCATTTGATCTCGAAAGTCGGAATTTCCAAGATGACAGTCGGATACGTCATCCAGAAAGCTGCCTAAAGTCAGAACTCAGACTTGGGAACTCTGAGGAACTTCAGTAACCCGAGCTCAAAATGTATTTATTGGAATGATCCACAGCCACCCCAATCGATTTACGTTTACATTCCCCGGCGCAAATTTGCGTCTTCACATTGACTTATGTATGGTTTTGCAATGTGCAAGGAATTTGCTTCACCTTGGTCCAAAAAAACTATTACCTGTCCCTAACAGCAAACTGAGTCAGCAAACTGTAGCAGGTGGAGCACAGAAAATTGTTCAAATATACTACAATCAATGTTTCGACCGAAGGGAATGAGATCATCATTTTGCATCTTCCAAGTACAGAACTAAAGGAAGAATGTGCAACATTTTACACATAAATAAGCAGGAATCCTGTGTAAATGTGTCTCTGAGTCATGACTGTCTACAATGAGGGAGAAGCTCGAGTCCCGCTGGCTGTGTTGTTGTCAGAGCCGCGTTTACATGGACGGGACGGCCGGCTCCTCCCCTTGTGTATAAAAGCTGTTTTAGTCAAGAACTAGAGAGAAGAAGAAGAACATACTCACTGATTATTTGGATGTCACAAAAGAGATTTTAGATCACGCTCATTCTGTCAATTTATGTGCTCTATGGAGCTACAAGCTAACTAAAGAGCGCTAACATTAGCATGCTAACACAACAATGCAGGACACAGTTGATTGCAGCTCGAGTAAAGGACAATTTTGTGTGCTTAATGGTGCTTAAATATGGTGCGCTCTAATTGATAACTCCTCCATGTGAACGCGAGTGTAGAGGGGTTGGAGGTTTGTCGCTGTAAAAGAGCGGAGGCTTCAGGATGGAGGAGGTGTGGCCAATACAGAAGTTTTTTTTTGTTTCATGCTGGCGTTCAAGGGCGACATCTACTGGATCAAAAAGTCGCTGATTATTCCTTTAAGACTGTCAGAGTAAGACTCGTTATTTGGAGAACAATAAAACAATATGATTTGATTTCCTTTGTATGACTTTGAATAACAAATCTAAGGGTCCAGAGAGTCCTACAGGTCTTTAGGTACCTTTGTATCTGTTGGCTGTTTTTTTCTTCTTTCTTTTCTTGTGTTAACTCCCTGTCAGGTTATTACAGTTTCATCAGGACACTTTCATGGTTTATCTGAAACCTGACACACAACAAGTTATTTTTCAAGTGCCAGTGTGGATTTTTCGGCCGGCCACTATTTTCACTTCCCCTCCGAGGCTGTGTGGCATTTTGTTGGCAGCTTTTTTGGCATAGATCGAAATGAGAAAGTTGGAAAAGTGTGGAGGATGCTATTTCTCTGTCGGAGGTTAAGGTGGAGAGGAGCTCTCTCATTTGGACTGAAACAATCTGTAAAATAACCGTGACCCTGGGTCCTGTCATTGCAGTTAGTTCTGCCCCAAACAGAGAAGAGATAGAATGGAGACAGACAGGGTGATGAATTGGTGAAGGTGAACTAACATCAGGTCTGAAGAAGCCTGACAGTGGAGGACACAGAGGAGAGAAGACATGGAGAATGGAACAGAGGGACCATAAAGACCCCCCTTTTAAAATGTTACATGTTCAACCTTCAGATCTAATTAGATGTTTAATAATTAAATCTTTTTTTTATGCATCCTTTATTTCCAAACAGAAACCACGAGGCAGAAAGAGTTCCAGAGGACGCATCATTAGTAGGAGAATGAGGGGAATTAAAATAACTGGAGGAAGGGGAATAAACAACGCAGACAACTGGAAACTATTTAACTGATGAGCAAATATATCTGAATTAAGGATGTCAAAATGTTCGTTACTCTAACACTACCACAAGTTCTAAAACAACACAATCTCAAGTTTTTGAATGATTTAGTTCCAAGCATTGGTTCCCAACAGTCTGCAAACCTCTATAGGGAGGGGTGACAAAAATATCAGAGGGGGGGCGAGGCTTTCTCTGCTTTGAGGTTTCCAAAAATTAGATTTTCACATGTTAACTTAAACCACGATGATCATAGAAATGTCTTTTTGTAAGAAGTGTTTGTAGGCATATGTTGGGAGTTATCAGTGAAACCA